TGCTTACTAAGTGTTTGTTGAAGGAATGAAATAGCAAATGACTGGAAATAGGTTTTTAATGAGGCATCAATGACATCACAGTCATCTTTGTTTGTTTTTGAGATAGGGTCTCACTACGTAGCCCAGGCTGATCTTGAACCCCAGCCTCCTACCTCAGCCTTTGGAGCACTGAGATTATAGGTGTGAACCACCATTCCTGGCTCTATCACCATTATCTTTGAAGTGACACTCTCCTTGCTTATCACTGTCACCTCCAGGTACACACATGGCAGGCCCATAAGATGCTCAGAGGCTGGGCACTGGTGGCTCATGCCTGTAATGCTAGCTATTTGGGAGGCAGAGAACAAGAGGATTGAGGTTTGAATTTAGCCCAGGCAAATAGTTTGAGAGATCCTATCTCGAAAATACCCAATGGAAAACAGGGCTGCCAGACTGGCTCAAGTGGTAGAGCACCTGCCTAACAAGGCTAGAAGCATGAGGCCCTGAGTTCAAACGCCAGTTCTCCCCTGACCCCCCCTGCCCCAAAAAACCCAGATGCTCAGAAAACCTGTATTGAGAGGAGCTCAGCAGTTTCAAAGAGGGAGTCTACATGACTCTCTCCTCAGGACTTACCCCCTCCCTCCCATATCCCTTCCACAGTCAGGGCCAGCATTGGGTAGTCAACATGCCCAGCTGTTCTACCACACACACCCAACAGAGATAGGAGAAACTCAAGGACTGAGGCCAAAAGCAGAACCAGGGCTGGTAGTATGAGGGCCTCTGGTCAGCCATGACCCCCACCCAAGGCCATGGCTGCAGCTGGCCCCTAGAATAGGGAAGACACTGGTTAGCCTGGTACAGGAAGTTCCTCAAAGTCAACCTTCTAGGAGGCAGCAGGGTCAACTTACACTGGGGACACAATGAAAGGGGTTGCTCAGGGACTGTCCTTAAACCAGGCCAGGGGCTTGCAAGGCATCCTGATAGAATACTTTTTCTTCTAGTCCTCCAGTTGCCAGGAAACCACTGTGCATCTGGACTACAGCAAGAGGCAGGTGGGTATAAGACCACACATAGATTGAAAGAGAAGGGATGAAAAAAAGATACTCCTTGAAAATGTAAAACCAAAAGAGAGTGGGGATAACTATACTTATATCAGATAAGAGAGACTTTAAGTCAAATGCTGGAAAATGAGACAAGAAGGTTATATAATGACAAGAGGGTCAATTCATCAAGAAGATATAAAAATAGTAAATATAGGTGCACCCAATATAAGAACAACTAAATATATTAATATTAGATATTAATAGACTTGAAGAGAGAGATAAACTACAATACAATAATAGTAAGGGGCTTCATTACTCTACGTTCAGAGCACACAGACAGAAAATCTAATAAGGAAAGGTCAGACTTGAACTATATTCTGGCCCAAATAGACTAGAATATTCAATCTGACAGCTTCAGAATCCATATTCTTCCCAAGTGCACATGGAAAATTCCCCAGGACAGATCATATTTTAGGCACAAAACAAGTCACCACAAATTTTAAGATGGCTGAGATCAAATTAAGTGTCTTTTCCAAACCTGAAACTAGAAATTAACACTAAGTATGAAACAAATTAACTTTAGGAGAAATTTCAGAAAATTAACACTTATGTGGAAAATAAACAACCAATGGGTCAATGAAGAAATTAAAAGATAAATGCAAACGGGCACACAATACACCAAGGCTTATGGGATGCAGCTAAAGCATTCCCTCTTAGAACTGTAAGAGGAAATTTTATAGCAATAAATGCCTATATCAAAGAAGAAGAGGAACAATCTCAAATAAATTCTATTTTTTAAAAAGAGGCAGCTTGGCACAACAGGAGTCAGGCCTGGCAGACAGGGCACCAGGGATATGTGCCCCTACGAACTGCACAGCGATATGGGGAAAGGCCTTCTGGGGCTTCTCCCAGGGACCACAGAGCCAAGGCTGCCAAAGAGTCTTAGCAGGGACCTGGGGGCACCAGAACTTCAGGATAACCAGGGTCAACCAAGGTCTGATTTGCAAAAGTGACCGCAGGAGGAGCGAGGACCCTCTCCCCCACGTACTTCAGCACAGAGTGCTCACCCAATGCCCCTACACCTTTCCTGAAGACCTCCCAGTCTCTCTGCTTTACAGCCCTCCAACATTAGATGTCTCCCTTTCCTTCACTCGTGTGTGTGTGTGTGTGTGTGTGTGTGTGTGTGTGTGTGTGTGTGTGTGTTACTGGGGTTTGAACTTGGGGCTTCTCACTTGCTAGGAAGCCACACTACTGTATTTATGTATTGGTTATTTATCTATTTTAGCGGGACTGGGGTTTGAACTCAGGGCTTCATGCTTGCAAATCAGGCGCAAAATCAGTCCATTTTGCTCTGGTTATTGTGGAGATGAGGTCTTGCAAACTATTTCCCAGGGCTGGCTTTGAACCGCGATCGTCCCAGTCTCAACCTCCCAAGTAGCAAGGATTGCAGGCGTGAGCCACCAGCAACCGGCTCCCCACAGTATTTTTTAAACAATAAATTGCTTGGCTTTCCTGAACCTTTCTCCTCTGAGAGTTGGGCCAACAGTGAGCACTTAGGATGAGACTTCATTTACATGCACCCACTGAGGGCCACCTCCAGTAGGTGGAGGGTGCTCCCCAGAGCTGAGTCCAGCCCCTGCCAACCACCTGGCCACTACAGCTGGCTCAGCTTGATGAAAGAAGAGCCCTGCAAGCTCTAGGGTGTCATCAGTCCCTCAGTTTGGCTGAGTTGCAGCTAAAGAACCCCCTCCAACCACCTCTATCATTGCTGGTGACTAGAAGCCAGAAGTTCTGGTGGGGGATTTGATCTCCTCACCCCAGCGCAGAGATCATTTCACAAGGCAGAGAAGAGAGGCTCCGTTGGTAGTAGCAATTTTTGTTCCCAGAAGCTGTAGAGATGGAAGAGGTGTAGCCTCCCCAGGTCGGCCCTGACAGTGAAGATCTGGCCCTCACACTTGTAAATCGTGGTCCCCGGGACTGTGCGCTTTAATTCAAGGCTTCATCGCTTTGAACATCCTGTCTCCTGCCTGAACACCTGGATCCCCAGCGCGCACATCTCTGGATAACTGCATCCTGATCCCTCGCACCCCCTCGTCCCCATGAAGGCTGCTGATGGGACAAACTCTGAGGGGTAGGGCGGGGAGGTGGGCTTACACTCCAGGTCTGGGTGACGCCAAGTCTTGGCCGCTGCCGGCCAAAGGGGCAGGTAGGGGGGCCAGTGACCCATAGCAGGTAGGCAGGCTCTAGCCCACCACGCCGCGTCCCCAAGCCCTCAGTCACGCGGAGCGGCGTCCAACCCATCCTCTCATTCACCTAAAACAAGGCGTGGAGGAACTTGAGCAGTTCGCCGGCCCTGGGACCTGTGCATCCCCGCTGCAAAAGACTGCTGAGAGCCGGGGCCTCAGTTTAGGGCGGAATCTACAAGCCCCGCCCCTAGCATGAACCCCACCCAGAAAGCCCCACGCTTGCTCCCAAGCACCACCACTCAAACCCCGCCCTGCCCTCACTGCCTGAGGCACTAAGTGCCATCCATCAAGTCCCATCCCACTCTAATCCCCACCCACCAAGTCACGCCCCCAGCCCCAGGTGCCGTTCCTCAAGCCCCGCCCCAAGCATCCTACAAAAAGCCCCACCTCTGCTCTAGGCCCCGCCTTCCCAGCTGCAGACCAGCCTTCAGAGAACAGGAACGGGACCACACCTGCGCCGACGCAGAGCAGGAGAAATGAGAAAGGTTGAGTATGTTACATACCCGGAGAGAGGTCAGAGTTAGCTATGGATGAGGGCGTTGAAAAGTTAAAAGCAATCAACTGAGGTCTCTGCAGCGCCTGCTCCCCTCCCTCACCGCCACCTCCCCCATCGCCCTAGCCCCTGTTGCGTGGAGTGGGTCATGCTGACCCAGGGAAGGAAGGAATGCCTTGTAAATGAATTTTGCGTTGCTTCTCACGGAAATGGTTCGTTACCTGGGACTCCTTCCTGGCTTTGCTTCCAAACCCAGAGTATTTCTTCTTTGTTTCTTGCGGTTGTTAATAACAGTTTCATTGGGATTATCCTTAATATAATCTTGGAGAAAATTCCCATTTCACACTTCGCCATTGAAAACATACCATTCTAGGGTGCTTACTAGGCTTAGACAATCAACACCATTACCTGATTTCAGAGCAAAAAATATACACATACCCTTGAACAGCCTTCCCTCCCCCAGCCACCCCTCAGGGCTACCACTAAGCTACTTTCTGTTTCTATGGATGCGTATTCTGGAAACCAGGGCATTTCTGCAACACAATAAATCATCCAGTGCGCAGAAGATGAAGAGGGGAGGGAAGTTAGCGACCCAGGGGAACAGATGGCTTGGGAGTGGGCAGCCCAGGAAATACTTCCTTCTGGGACTCTTAACTGGCTGAGGCTTTGGGGCAGAAGGCTTGTGTCCACCCGCCTAGGTGTGTGACGTGAAGGACCTGAGAAGGAAGGGAGAGAGCAGGGATGCTGGCAGGGAAGCTTGGGATGGAGTGAGGGGAATCAGAAGGCTCAAGGACCAGCCAGTTTTTGAGAGCCAGGTGGTCTGAACTTGGTCTATCTGGGAGGGAATAGCCTGGAGTTTCACCAGGGGATGCGGTTGGGGGAGGAGGAGGGAGGGAGGGAGTGCAGAGGGAGGGCAGAAGATTGTAGGGTGGGGCTCTATCTATAAAGGGTGAAGTCGGTCTGCTGACCCTACAGAAAGCACACCTCAGCAGCATCAGCTCCCAGGACTACACAGGCACCGGTGAGTCCTTTCCCTGACCATGGCTGAGATCAGCAGCAGATCCCTGGCCTGCTCCACTTTTCCCTGACCTGTGCCACCTGTCTCTTGCTGAAGGCCCCTGGGGCCTGGCTTGAGATGGGTTGCTCCCAGTGCCTGCTGATGACCTCACCACCCTCTCCACCTTGCCAGGTGGCCCTGTTATCTCTTAAGGCACCCACAGAAGAGATCCAGACTACACCATGAACGTGTGGCTCCTTGTCTGCCTGGTAGCGGGTTTCATGGGATCCTGGGCCACTGCTGTCCACGCTCAAGGTACTGTCTTCAGCCATACCTACCCTACCACTCTGGACTGTCCTTTCCCTATCCATCCTCCTTGTCCCTCTGGCTCTCTCATTGTCCCTCCCCACTCCTAGAAATCTCCCAGATCTCATCTCAACATTGAATTCTCAATGTCTCCTGCCCAGAGCACAGCAAGAATTCCTGGCATTTGAGAAGCTCCTGGGGTGGAGGGAGAAGGAGAGTCCCCAGATCCCAGATCCTTCATTCAGAGACCTGGCACCCCCCTATCCCCATGGTGCCTTCTTTGCAGGCCTCCAGTGGCCTAGGAACTGCAGGGAGGAGAGGGTGGCTTCCAGCCTTGGGCGAAGCCACTTACAGCTAGGAAGCAGCTGCAGTGCCTTGACCCTGAAGAGCCAGGGATGAGGTCAGAGCTTGGAGTCCTGGAGGCCTTTGGAAGTTCATTCCTGTCCCAGGCTGTGTTCCTCCTTCCCTGTACAGCCTGGCTGTGTTGTTCCTCAACTATTGTGAGCCTCGGTTTCCTCATCTGCAAAGTAGGGATCTGAAATTTCCACTGCATGGACTAGACATAAGGATCCAATGAGTCCGTGGCTGAAAATGCCCAGTGCTCAGAAACAATAATAATAATAGCCATTATTTTTATTAATGGGGAACTATTTCCATCTCCCTGCCCCCCCCACCCCAGAGTGGGTAACTGAGGATTTCAGTCACCAAAAGGTCAGTTTTAGGCATGCAGTGTCCCTCAGGATCCCCCATACTAGGTGCTATATCTCTGGGGTCCCAGCATGGCCCCTGCCAGGTTGATGCCCCACAGCCCCACCCTCCTGTCTTGCCTGCTCCTACCCTGGGTCTGACAGTTCCAAGCCCAGTTCCCAGCAGAGCCTACCCTTTGCCCAGGAGAGAGACTGGGCTTCGTTCCCATTGCCAGCTATCAGAGCCAGGCCCAGCCTCTGCCCTTTGATCCTAGGGGGAAAGTGGCCCCCACCTTTGGAAACCACCTGCAGAGGAGCCCTGGAGCCCCAGATCCATCTGACCCCACTGCCTTTTGTCCTCAAGGGTCAAGGTTGGACTGTGCAAGGAGGCTGAGTCCCGCCCCCTGCTCTGCCAGGACTCAGACTGGGCCCCTGGAGGGGGCACTGGCAGATGGGGATTGCAGAGGATCTGGAAGACTGGCTGGGCTGGGGAACCCCCATCTCAGTTCCTCTTCTCCTCATTCATTTCAGGTGCTCCTCTTTCTAAATCTTTCTACGGGTTCCCCCAGCACCTGTACATCCTCCTGTTTGCATAGTTCAACCTCCTTGGACCCCATCAGTCTGGAGCTCCCCCAAGACACTAAGTTCAGTTCATTTTTATATTGTCTGGACCTTTGACACCTAATGGGAGCTGTTTAAATACTTTTTTTCTTCCTTTTTATTGCAGTGTTGAGGATCAAACCGAGGGCCTTGAGTTTATTTGCTTATTTATTTATTTTCAGGGCCTTAAAAAAAATCAGGGCCTCATGATTGCTAGATAGGTACTCTATCACTTGAGCCACACTCCTGGTTTTTTTGGGATTTTTTGCTTTAGTTGTATTTCAGATAGGGTCTTTTTTTTTTTTTTTTTTTTTTTTGCCCAACCAGCCTAGACTGTATTTCCTACTTTTGCCTCCCCAAAGCCTACTTTTGTAGCTGGGATAACAGGTGTGCAACCACCATATCTGGCTTTTTTGTTGATATGGGGTTTGCTAACATTTTTGCCCAGGGTGGTCTTCAGCCATAATCCTCCCAATCTCTGCCTCCCAAGTAGCTGGGATTACAGGTGTGAGCCACTGTTCCCAGGCTTATTTCTTTTCTTTTTAAAATTCTCTATTATTTATTTAAGACAGGGACTCACTAGGTAGCCCAGGCTGGCATATAAGAGGTGATCCTTCTGCCTCCTGAGTTCTTGAATTACAGACATGCAACCCCATGCCTGGCCCTCAAGAGTCTTTAAATACATGTTAGACCAATGGGAAAATCAACATGGAACTCCGCGTCTGACCAGGTCAATTGAGTGGTCACTATGATGGGGACAGAAAGGAAGAGATTTGAGCTAGTCTCATGTAGGAACAGGCCAGCCTATAGCTGGACCTGGGACTTGGAGGCAGCTGATCAAGCTGTCCAATTTTAGGAAAGTGGCACTGGGTAGAGGAAGGAAGCCCCGAACCCCTCCTCAAGGCGTGTAGTTGCCCTCCTTTGCCCTCTGCCTTAGAGCAGGAGTAGAAGGGGCTTGGTCTTGTTCCTTTGGTTGCCACCTGTCCCCATAGCAAGGACTAAGAGTGATCCAGGCAGCTTCCTTATCTCTCAGACAGTCTGTTAGCCTCTGCACGTCTACAGACCTATGTGTGGGGCCTATGTGTGTACACAGGTGCCTATGACTGTGACCATCCCTGCTGAACCCACACACAGATTCAAGTGTACAGTGGCCTTGTGGTTGCAGGTGCCTTTGAGGACTGCTGTCTGGGTTACCACCGTAACGTCACCTGGCGTCAACTCCAGCATGCCAGGCGTCACCTGCACCAGGAGGTGAGCGGAAGCTGCAATCTACCTGCCGTGATGTAAGTAGGGCTGTGAGGGGTGGGTTAGGGCTCATGGGGTAGGGCTTACTATCGGAGGTGGGGCTCCTCCTTTACACTCTGACTTGGGCACCCCCTCTCCATGCACCATAGATTCTATTTCCCGAAGAACAGGATACTGTGTGGGAACCCACGGGACAAGGAAGTGCAGAAGGCACTGAACCTATTATTCAGGAGACGGATCAAGTCCAGCCACAACTCCTGGAAGGCCTTGCAAGGTGGGTAGGGCTCCCACCCAGTCCAGTATTTAGGGGGCCTGTCCTCCCTGTCTTCAGGGGAACCTGAGCTCAGCATGTTAGCCAAAGACAGCCAGTTGCTGGCAAGTCAGGGACGAAGTGAATGACCAATGGATGGGACCATCTTCCAGCTCTTTTAATCAGGACATTTTCAGTTGTTGCAGATGGAAAGTTCAAGCACAGAGAAAACTCACTGACTGCCAGGCTCTGGTGGCTCACACCTGTAATCCTAGCTACTCAGGAGGTAGTGATCAGGAGGATCATGGTTCGAAGCTAGCCCCAGCAATTAGTTTGTGAGATCCTATCTTGAAGAACCCATCACAAAGAAGGACTGGTGGAGTGGCTCAAGTAGTAGAGCATCTGCCTAGCAAGCAAGAGGCCCTGAGTTTAAATCCCAGTACTGCAAAATTAAACAAACAAACAAAAATTCACTGGCTTGAGTAACTAACCAACAGCTTCAGGATCAGCTGGATCAAGGGGCTCAAAGGGTGTTGGTGGAACTCTTATCTATTTCTTTCTGTTGTCTGATAGCTTCTCTGGCTGGGAAGAAGAAATTGCATTCAGGAAAGTCCAAGTTTAAGGATTCCAGCAGCAGCAGCAAGAGAAATGCCTCCCTAAGTGATTCCAGGTAAGGACTCTTGATCACACATGTGACCTTCCTCCATCTATCACTTTTGTTGATGATCAAGGACTCATGACAGTCCAGACTGGGACAGTATTTACCTTTAGGACCTAGGAGAGCTGGCTGTGTGGTCAGTTTCACAGGTTCACACAGGAGGGTCCCAGATGATTGTTCAGGCCTCCAACCCAACCTAGGGGGACTTTGGTAAAAGCTGAAGAGAAACCATGGCAGGTGAACCAAGAGCTGTGTTACTCCTTTATATAGAAAAACAATTTTTTCCCCCTCTCCTCACATACACCATTTTCTTCTTCTTTTTTTGTTCCTACAACTTTTATTTCCCCCAACAGTTTTTTTTTGGTGATACCGGGGACTGAACTTAGGGCCTCATGCTTGCTAGGCAGGTTCTGTGCCACTTGAACTATGACCCCAGTTCAGCACAACACTTCTCATGGCACATATGCAGGTGTATCTCCTCATACCCTAAGCAACTCTCCCACAGACACTGGTAGGGTGTCCCATAATGCAATTCAATTCTGACACTATCCGCCTGGGAGTGTCAGATCTCACGTTAGAGACTCAGAGCCATGAGGCTACCCCTACTTACGATGTAACCTCACTGTGGGGTAAGCAGCTCATGCCTGTAATCACACCTACTTGGGAGGCAGATAGATCATGGTTCAAGGTCAGCCTGGCAAAAGGTTCTCAAGACCCCATCTCAACCAATAAACTGGGAGTGGTGGTGCACACCTGTTATCCCATGTACGAAGGAATCCTAAATAGGTGAACAGTGGTCCAGGCCAACCTGAACAAAAGTTCAAGACTCTGTCTGGAAAATAACTAAAGCTAAAAGGGCTCAGGGACATGGCTCAAGTGGTAGAGAACCTACCTAGCAAGCACAAAGCCCCGAGTTCAAACCCAGTGCCACCACCGCCACCAAAAAAAAAAAAAAAAAAAAAAGGCACACCTCTGTGAACCTGTTTTCCCATCTTCAAAATTGGAGATGATAATGACACTGTCCACTGTCTATTCCACAGGATTTTCATGACGACCAAAGGGATCAACAGTCATAAATTACTGAGAATGGTGCATGGTATGTAACATGTGGTCAGTAATGCCACCTGTACTTCACTGGGAGTCCCATGATCGCATCCTTGGTTTGGATTATTTGCTAGGTCAGCTCCCAGGACTCAGAGAAACACTTTCCTTCATCCCCTGGCTTATCATAAGGGATATTACAAAAGGAAGGGTGAACAGCCAGATGAAGGAGATCCACAGGGCAGAATGTATGAGCCCTGAGTGCAGGAGCTCCTGTCCCTGCAGGGTTGGCGCACATGGAAGTGTTCACCAACCTGGAAGCTCCCTGAACCCCGTAGTTCAGGGATTTACGGCAGCTTTATCAGATAGGCATAATCAATTATTAACTCCACTTCCAACCTTTCTCTCTCTGGAGAATGAGAGGTGAAACAAAAATCTTCTAATAATGGTTGGGTCTTTCTGTGACCGGCCACCATCCAGGACCCAACTCATCCAGGAAATCCCAAGGGATCAGGGGCTCTGTGTCAGGAGCTGGGGGCCAAAGACCAATGATTAGAACAAAAGATGCTCCTAGCATCTTTAGGCTCCAATTACAAGGGTTTTAGGAGGAGCTCTGTGCCAGGGACTGGGGGCACAAGCCAATTACGTCTATTTCTTGTTTCACAGTGCCCCAAGCCCCTGCAGTCAGGCCTCTGTAATCCCTCCTGCAGGACTGCAAGACCCACACCTCGGAGATCCACAGCACAAGAGGCGCTGGACCTTTCTTTGCCTCCATGGCCAACCCGTCTGTGGCCAGGCTGCCCCAGCCCTTCTGTCGTTCAGCCTGATTCTTAATACCTGTGCTTGCATTGGTTTTCTGGTCTTTGTTCTACCACCTCATCCCTCACTCCCCTGGAAAGAGATAGTTGGCTTTACTTTAAGCTCCTTGCTACTCTGGGGACCAGCATCAAGCTTGGATGGGGACCCTTGTAGACAAGACCCCTTGGGATATATCACCCACTTGCAGCCTCTTGCCATTCACCCCCAAGCTACCTGCTTGTGTCCCTCCAGGTCCTTGCAAGACTTTGGTCCATCAGGGACATCCTACTACGCCATGCTTTTTTAAATAACATTTAAAGAAAACTTTAGAGAAGATGTCATCTCTTAAAACACTGGCACATTTTGGTTTTTTGAGACAAGTTATTGGTGTTGGACTTGTTGTTTTGGTGGGACTGGGATTTGAACTCAGGGCTTCTGGATTGCAAAGCAGGTGTTCTATCGCTTGAGCCACACCTCCAGTCCGGCGTTGAACTTATGATCCTCCTGCCTTACTCTGTGAGTGCGGTCATGATTAATTATGAGGTGTCCCAGACTGGGGCGAATCCCATCTGAGTCCTATCACCCCAAGATCTGTGCCCCAGTCCTTATAACTGTTTCGGGGGGATGCTGAGCACAGGGCTGGGTATGGTGATGCATGCCTGTAATCACAGCTCCAATGAGGTTTGGTAAAAGAATTGTGGTCCAAGACCTGGCTGGGTAAAAGCAAGGACCCTATCTGAAAAATAGCTAAAACAGAAAAGGACTGGTGGATGTGGCTCAAATCAGAGAAAACCTGCCTAACAAGAATGAGGCCCTGAGTTCAAACTCTAGTACCACCCCCAAAATTAATAAAATGGAGGTCACTGTGCTTGCTCTGCTCAGATTTCAGAACTGTGGGGGGTCCAGCTAATGAATGGAGAAGCCCTCTGTAAGCCTTAATGGGCTTCTCACATGCCACTGGTAAGTCAGGTGGGCCAGGACCAGAACAAAGACAGTCCTGTGGCAAAGCACTAGAGACAGCTCTACAGGTAGAGGTTTGAGTCATGACTTTGCTGCCCTGTCTTGGGCAGCCTCAGTTTCAATCACAACAGAGAATGTTCTAGATAAAAACCTACTGCTACCTGGACCTGTGTCTCTGCACAGGTGACGATGGTCTCACTACATTTTCTTCTCAGAGCCCTGAGTCTGGACCCTCCTGGGGCTGCAGAAGTCCAGCCCAGGTCTCTGGCACCCCCATGCGGAGGACAGCATCTACTTATTTGAGAACTTGCCAAGAGGCAGGCAGATTTACCCAAAATAACTTTATTGTTTTCTCCACTTTTGATATAAAAGCATCCCTGGAACCCTAGCCCAGGCCCTGGAGGAATGAACATGGGTGCTGTGGCTGTAGGGTCAGGATTCCCCTTTCTGCTTTGAGGGATGAGCCCTACACCCCATGTCCCACTGACAACCCCCTCCCTGGGGTGAGCCACAGTGCAGTATAGAAGTTTAAGCCTGAGATAGACCAGAAACAGTGACCAATGGGCCCCCCATGGACCCTGGCTGTGTGTGTGTGTGTGGGAGGTACACTGCAGCTTCTAGCTGTCTCCAAGAAAGACTGAGTGTTGGGGTCCCCCAGGCTGGCAAAGAGGGTCCTGGCATGGGGCTGAGCTTGTCTGAGGTCATGTGATATAGCATTCCACTCTTCCTGAGTTTTGGGGTTTGACCTGCTCAGCCACTGCCACTGGAGCATCAGTTTTTCCTAGTTCTACAATCTCCACCTCCAGATGGTTCAGGAGTTCTGGGGTTCATAGAGGTGCCTCCCAATTACAGCAGCTGTAATTTCAGATTCAGCCGCAAGGCCTGGCCCACTGGCCCTGGCTGGACACTTTGAGCCCCTGCCACGCTCACCACCTCCAGCTGGTACAACCCAGGCTTTGGCCTCTGACGCCCCAGCTGCAGGGAGCTAAAGCCACCCAGGTGGTGCATGTGGAAGAAACCTTTCTTGTTGCCATGAACGATGACATAGCGAACCTGGCCTTCTAGACCCTCCAAAGCCGGCCGCAGCTCCAGGATATGCTGGGCTTGGCCCAAGCGTGAGAGGTTCAGGCCCAAGGTCAGGGGCACTTCCGCATCAAGAGTGGCCAAGCTCACCTGGGGAGAAAGACCAGAGACTGGGTAAATGGGGATGTGGTGGGTAGAGGGTCATGGCCAAAGAGGAGGTTTTTAGCTTTGCACACTTTGTCCTTGGCTTCTTTTGTCTAGCTCTCCACAAGGCCAAGGTTAGCTTAGGCTGAGGAGACAAGGCTGAGGCTGCTGAAATGCAGAGGGAGGGAGGCAGGCAGCCACTTTGTATACACGGATGCCAGACCTCTGCCAGCCTGGGTTAAGGGAATCAAAGGTTTGCCTTAGAGACCCAGACAAGGGGTCAGGGAGATGGCATCAGGCCCCAGAACCCAAAGGTCACTCAGGCAGCCCAGGGTAGCTAGTGTTAGGACCAAGAGCCTCTCTGCAAAATCAAGCCAGCTCTCCAAAAGGATGCCAGAATGGACAGAGAGAAAAGCAGGACACTCAGCTGGACCAGAAAGAAGAAAGTAAGGGCCAAATCACAGAAGAGCCACTCACTAGCTAGCTTCCGCTGTACTTCCTGTATCTGGCTGTTTTGAGAATCCCCTGTGTGTAGATGACAAACCCTTCTTTATTTGAGCTCCTCTGAAGAGCCTTGGTGATCCTGGCAGCTGGACAGTGCCCTCAATAAGCCAGCAATCCTCGATGACAAGCTACCCCGGGCTGGGTGACGTACTGGATCCCACAGAAAATTATCTGTGTCTGTTTCACCTCATTTACATGCTGGTGGAGTGTTCTACTGTTGCATTCAAGTGAAAGCTATTTCTGTTTCCCAGCCTCCTGCATCTGGGAATCTCTGGCTTTTTCCCAGGAGTGTGGCTCAGACATATGCTCTTACTGACACCTGCTGGTGGAGAGCAGGTATTGCAGGCAAAGGTACAAAGACAACCACTCCACTCTCACTGAGAACAAAAGGCTGGAGACACGGTGGCAAATAACAGTAACTATGGGATAATTTCCAAGGTGGACGTTTTTCCCAGCAAGGGGGGAAAAACAACTAGAGAAGAAAATGAGTATAAAGTAATGAATTCACCTCTAGTCAATCAGACTCAATATGCTTATCTCGCTCTGGCTTTATATTTTCCTGTAGCATATATCATGGGTCATATTTATCATGAGTTATAAAACATGATATCTACTTAATGATTTCTTGTCTGTCCCCTATGAGACTATCAGCCCCACGAGGGCAGGGACTTTTTTCTTGTTCATTCCTGCATCACAGAGTCTAAACAGGAGGTGCCTGAATCATCGTAGGAGTGAGGTAAGGTACCCAGAGAAAAGTCTCCACAGGGAAATACCAGGGCTGAGAAAGTACAAGAAGACCTGGGCAGGCACCATGCCATGAGGGACAAAATGGGATGTGAACCTAGTTTTCTTTCCTGGGGTACCACAGCCTCCTTCCCACCCTGACAGCCCCCTGGCCCAGTGAAACCTCCATTGCACCTGGTGGCCCCTGTGAGTGCTGCGTCGTGGCCGGTCTGGAGAGGAGAAGCCCTTTATCTTACATTCGTAGCAGGCTTCAGATGACAGTGGCTCCACTTCATCTGAGGTGTCCTGAAGTCCAGGGTGGAAGCCCAAGCCGGAGACACAGTGCCTGGGCCATGATAGTAGAGAGGGACAAGGCTCTCAGGGGCAGGCTGGTGGCACCTTCCCAGCCACCTCCTACACTACTCTCCATCTCACTCCATTCTGAGCCATGGGAGAGGGGGTGTCAAATGCTATCATGCAAACGAGCTGTACGTGCTGACGTGGCTGTGGAAGCCCTTGCACACATGTGCACCTAAATGAAGGGTGTGTGTGCATGTACATCTCTTGATTTACCTAGGCATCGGTGTGAACACAGGAAAGGGATGGCATGCATGTGCTGGGATAGGTGACTATATCCGAGCATGCACAGGGCTGTGTGTACATGCGAGCCTGTGTGCACACCTGGAAGATAGTGCCCAAGTACACACCATGCCAACCATTCAGGGACTGAAAATGTTAGCTCTTTGCTGGTGTGTGCCATGTAGTTAGATCTATAATGGTTGCATCTGTATTAAACATATATGTACTAAATGTATACTAAATAATATGGTTACTCTTTCCTTGCCATTATCCCCAAAACAATACATTATGACAGCAACAGACTTGGCATTTACATCATATTATGTATCAGAAGGCTTGGAGAGATGATTTGGAGTCTACGGAGGATGTGCACAGGTTCCATTGTAAACACTATGCCATTTTATATAAGCAACAGGAGCATCCTCAGATTCTGGTATCTTGGGGTTGGGGGAGTCAAGGAACAATCCCCTGTAGATACTAAGGGATGACGTATGGCATGAGCCAGCACACAAAGAGGGCTCGTCATGTGTTATTCCTCATGTGTGCAAACCAGGATGTATCACTGGCACATAAGTATCCCCAAGGATTTGAGCACACGTGAGCCTGCACAGACACTGAGATATGCCACGGACATGTGCACGTGCACACTGGGATCTATAAATGCCCGAGGGTGTGCTGGTGCAGGTGTGTACGTGTGGGCAATTACATACACAGTAGGGGGTGTACACAGGATGTTGGTGCCTCTGTGTGCAGTTCTGACAGAGGGAGTTCTTCTGTTGGATTCTCAGTGTACGCACAAGCCCGTGTTGTATACACATTTGCACAGCATGGAGTCCAAGCCTACTCCGCCCCTGCTTGCCCCACTCAAAGCTCTTACCCTTGTCCAGCCCGGAAGTAACCTCGGGGACAGCCACACAAGAAGCCACCAGGCGTGTTGGCGCAGCCATAGCTGCAAGGGCTGTCACGGTTGGCACACTCATCCACATCCTGGCAGCCCCCAAGGGCCTGGTTGAATTCGAAGCCAGAGGGGCAGACACAGTGGAAGCCACCAAGGGTGTTGTGGCAGGAGGCACTGCCACAGGCCATGGGTGACAATGCACACTCATTCTCATCTGTGGGCAGGGAGGAGAGGAAGAACGGGATGGGGGAGGCTTTGTACCCCCAGAGCCTTCCATCAGGCACGCACCTGGCATACTCACTAATCAATTCCTGCATTTTTGCTGTGCAAAGCCTCCAGCAAGCTTGCTGGACATGTCTTCTTCCATCCCCTGCTTTATACCCCCAGTCCCTGCCCCAAAGCCTGTGATTCTCCTTCACAGCATTTTTCAAACCTTCCCCTAAATCCTAAATTGTGGAATGTTCTACAATAAGCTTTTTCTTCCTCAGCCCTACTGATATGTGGTGCTGGGTCATTTTGTGGTGTGAAATTTGAGCAGAATCCCTTGGCCTCTGCCCACTCAATGCCACGATCACTCTCCTCCTCCAGTTGTGACTAGACTATTAGAAATGTCTCTAAGATACTTCAAAATGTCCCCTAGGGAACAAAATGGTCCCCAGTTGAGAACCCAATGTATGGCCTAATGAATCCCCATCTCCATTGCTAAGACTGAAGAACTCTGGGGCAGGCATGGTGTCTGTCTGAGGCTCACTTCTACATCCTCAGTGCCTGATGTAAGGCAGGTGAGTAAACATGCAGAAGGCAAGAAGTTGAGAAGGACGCAGTGCCAGCAAAGGCCAATGGTTTGTGCCATCTTGAGACTCCTGGGCATGAATGCCCCGGTGGGGTAGGGTGGGAAAACTGACAGGAACTTAGTTAAACACCTGCCATGAGAAACAGAAGAGGGATCAGAGAAGGCAGCCTGGCAAGGCAGCAGGAAGGTGGGGACAGCTATGTCACAGAGGCCTCAGAAGGCTGAAGTATCCAGCAGGTGGCAGGTTGCAGTACCCAGAATATGAAGGTTGAAGGTAAGAGCCGAGCAGAGGTGGACAGAGAAGACTCAGGAGTGGGGCCCACAAAGGGGGAAGGTGAAAGTTGGAAGAGTATAGACAGATGGTGAAGACGAGGCTGTTAGGAAGGCCTGAGGCAGTAAAAAAGATAGGGAAGGATGGGAAGGCAGAGGGCAGAAGAGCCTCTGTGACACTTACAGAAGAGATGCAGCATGCATGTCTTAAATGCCATTGCTGTACCTATGGCAGACATCATTAATCAATCACACCATTCTTTCCATTGCATTCTTTCCATGCAGACATCACAAATCAACCACAGCATTCTTGGTGCTATACCCACCCATGCAGCACTCTTTTGGAAAGATTCAGGTAGGGGACCCAGTTTCCTGCTAGCCCCTGCCACTCACCCACACACTGGGCCCACTGGGAGTGTTGGGTGAAGCCCTGGGGACAGCTGCAGCGGTAGCCTCCCAGCTCATTCTGACAGCCGTGCTGGCAGCGATGGGGACCGTCACATTCATCTATATCTGAGACACAGACAGAGAGGGAGAGAGGCTCAGCTGGCGACCCTCAGGACCATCCCCCAGTCCTGGATTCCACCCAAGCCTGGCTTTACCTTCACAGCTACGGCCAGAGCTGTCCAGGGTGAATCCTTGGTAGCACTCACAGCGGAAGCTGCCTGGGGTGTTGTGGCAGTGTCCTCGGGTGCCACATGGGCCAGGTTGGGTCAAGCATTCGTTATTGTCTGTATAGGACAGAGAATGGACAGGGTTGCCTGTGCTGCTTCAGGCAAAACACTCACCTTCTCTGTGCATTTCTCCTTCTGTGAAATAAGATCCAGAGAAGTTTCTATCATGGCCACTATTTGGGATGGTGCACATAAAAGATTTTGCTTGAATCCCCTTTCCGCTGTTGCCAAGCTGTGTGATCTCAGATGAATGAATGACTTACCTTTTCTGTGCCTCAGCTTCCTCAGTTGTAACAATGGAGATGGTAATACTCCTTTTTTGCACTTTTAAGGTGAGAACTAAAATTGATTTAACCACACACAAGACTGAGGCCAGTGCCTGGCATGGGAGTAAAAGATTATCAAAATTGGGCTGGAGGGGTGGCTTAAGTAGTAGAGCGCTGCCTGCTTAGCAAGTGTTAAGCCACGGCAAACTCCACTATTGAATAGAAAAACAATTACCAAAACCAGGCTAGGGGTACAGGTCAGCGGTAGAACATGTGCTTAGCACATGTGAGGCTCTGGGTTCTATCCTCAGACCAAGAAATACACAACAACCCCTTTTCCTTTTTCCATGGGAAAGTGACCTAGTTGAGCTTTGTCTCAGGAGACCTGACACATGCTGTAGACTGGAAGTTTGTGTCCCTGTAAACCCTATGTTGAAACCCTAACTCCCGATGGGACAGTATGTGGAGCTCTTTTGGAAAGAAGAGCTCCCATAAGGAGGGACCCCCATGATGGGATTATAAGTGACAGCCCTTATAAGAAGAGACAGCCTGGAGCCAGAGGCTCACGCCTACACTCCTACCTACTCGGGAGGCAAAGATCAAGAGGATTGAGACTTGAGGCCAGCCAGGGTAAATGGTTTGAGAGACTATCTCGAACTAACCCTTCACAAAAAAGGGCTGGTGACATGTCTCAAGGTGTAGGTCCTGAGCTCAAACCCCAGTACCATGCACACACACAAAAACCCTTAACGTTCTGCAAACATCTTTCCATGTCTTTAAGTATTTTGTTCTGTTTCGTTTAAGACAGGATCTAACTGTGCAGCCCAGATGACCTTGACCTTGCTGTCCTGCCTCAGCCTCCCAAGTGCTGGGATTATAATCGTGAACAACCACTCTCAGCTTAAATATTCTTAGTACTCTTATTTAAATCATGATTAATGACTACTCATTTTTGGTTTGACCTCAAGGTCAAGGCCTTGTGCTTGATAGGCAGGTGCTCTAACACTTGTGCCACTCGCCCCCCTCCCCCCACAAGCCACTTTTTTTGCTTTAGTTATTGTTCAGATAGGATCTTGGGCCTGGGGCTGACCTTGGACCTAAATCATCCTGCCAACACCTCCTGGGCCAATTGTAGATGTTGACTTGTTAATTGAGATGAGATCTTGATAATTTTTGTCCAAGGTGGCCTTGAACCTCGACCCTCTCAATTTCTGCCTCCCAAGTAGCTGGGATTACAACAGTGCACCACTCGCCTCTTCTGATGCTAAGATTCTTTTTTTCAATTTTCCACCATTTTAAACAATGTAAAGACTAAGTACCTGTGTGTAAGTATGGTGATTTCCTTAGAATAAATTCCTAAAAGGCACAGACAGCCATATCTGCAAGTTTTGGAAGTGAACTGCTAAATCCTACTCTTACGGTCTATGGTATTTTGTTACCACTGTGAAACTAAGACAGCTGAGTTTTCAGGCAGTATTATTGTGATAATGACACAGCTAGTAGACTGTATTTGGACTGGGAAGTCAACAACAAATTCCTGATGGTGAACCCTAGTTTTGGCTTCCCTAAGCACAAAGATTCTTGATATTAAGCATTATCCCTGGGTGTGGTGGTGCATGCTTATAATCTCAGCCCTCAGGAGGCTGAGGCAGGAGGATCGAGTTCCAGGGCAGTTTGGGCTACACAGCAAGACCCCATCTCAAAAAACCAAAACAAATAAACAAAAACCAAAACAAACAAAAACCAGCCAAAGTGATGCAGTGTCTCTAGCTTCTGAACCACCGTCTCCAGAGGGAGCTGGGTGAATTCCTGGAGTTTTGGGAGCACTCTGGGGAGGTCCTAGGAGGGAGACCTAGCAGGGACTGGTCAGGGGCAAGGGGAGCTGCCCTGGGTGCAGGTCAGCCTTCTTAGAGTGGGCTTCCTGCTTCCCTAGGGTGAGGAAGAAGGAAGGAGGTTCTAGATGCTACCAGGATGTGAGTGCTGAGGAAGCAGGCACTTTGTTCCAGTCACTCCCCTCCCGTGTCTGGGGTTGTGCGCCACCTGTCACGCATGTGTGTGGGAGGAACTCACCGAAGCAGGCCTGGTGGCGCTGGATGAAGCCGGGAGGACAACGGCAGGTGAAGGCACCGATGGTGTTGAGGCAGATGAACTGGCAGTTATGCTGCCTGGAGGAGCACTCATCCAGGTCTGTGGCACAGAAGGTCCCAGAGACTCAGGGGGCGGGGCCCGAGCAGTCTGGAGGCGGGACCAGAGCCTGGGGGCGGGGCCCGAACAGCCTGGAGGTGGGGCCAGAGCCTGGGGGCGGGGCCAGAGCAGCCTGGAGGCGGGGCCAGGGGCGAGGCCTGGAGGCAGCCCTGAAGTGTCAGGGGCAGGGCCACGAGGCAGGGGCGGGACTCCAGGGTGGTAACTAGCTCCATGCCCTGGGGAGGGTGTGAGACCACAGGGGCAGATGGGGCACAGGGTGTGGGGAGCGAGACGTCACCCTTGCAGATCTTGCCATCTTCTTCCAGCAGGTAGCCGCGGGGGCAGGCGCACAGGAAGCTGCCCTCCGTGTTTTTGCAGAGGAAGGAACATGGCTTGGGGTTCTGGCTGCACTCGTCCACGTCTAGAGGGATGCCAGGGTTGAGAGGTCAAACACTCCCAGGGATGGGGGTGCTTAGAGGCTGGGGTCCCCTTCTCAGACTCTGGCTATCCAAAATCTGTGGATATACCTACACAGGAATTGGCACATTTTCTATAAAAAGTCAAATAGTAAACAGAGTTGGCCCTCTGTACATGTGAATCCAACCAACTGCGATGGAAAAAAAATTTTTTAATACATCTGTACTGAATGTGTACAGATTTTTTCTTGTCATGATGCCTTAAACAATATAGAGTAACTACACAGCATTTATATTGCATTAGGTATTGGGAGTCATTTAAGATTATTTAAAGTCTACAGCAGAGGCTGGGATGTGGCTCAGCGGTACAGCCCTTGCTTAGCACATGGGTGCCCTGGGGTCCATCCCTAGGACCACCAAAAGTAAATAAAAAAATAAAAGCAAGCAAATGAAAACTACCCAAATAAAGTATACAAGAGGATGTGTGTAGTTCATATGCAAACACATCATTTTAGCCAGATGCAGTGGCTCATGCCTGTAATCCCAGCTACTCTGGAGGCAGACATAGAGAAGACTGCCATTACAGGCCAGCCTGGGGTGTAGGAGAACATTAGCAAGACCCCATCTCAACCAATATGCCAGGTGTGGTGGTGCGTGCCTGTGATCCTAGCTACACAATAAGGCCACAGGTAAGAGGATCAAGGCCCTAGAAGGCCCTAGGCCAAAAAGACCCTATATGAAAGATAATTTAGAGCCAGGTGCCAGTGGCTCATGTCTGTAATCCTAGCTATTCAGGAGGCAGAGATCAGGAGGACTGTGGTTCAAAGTCAGTCTGGGGAAATAGTTCTCCAGACCTTATCTCAAAAATACCCAACACAAAAAAGAGGCAATTGAGTGGCTCAAGTGATAGAGCACCTTCCTAGCAAGCGTGAGGCACTGAGTTCAAACCACAATAGCACCGAAACCAACAAAAACCCACACCATTTTATGAAAGAAACTTGAATAACCCAGACTTTGGTGTTTGAGGGGTGTCTTGGAACAAATCCTCCTTGGATTCTGAGGGACAACCACATGTTTGGCTTTGCAGGCCAGGCTGTCATGGTCACAACTAGCCAACACAGCCTTCTAATCAGAAAAGTAGCCACTGAAGGTAAGGCATGGCTGTGTGCTAATAAAACTACTTACAAAAACAACCAAGGGCCAACTTGGCCCCGGGGTTGGAGTTTGTGGTCCCGACTTAGATGAATACCTGCTACATAATGTAAGTGAAAATGTCAGGATGTACAAAATAATGAGGAAATAAGAGCAGAGATGTGGCCCCAAACAGGGTGGAGAAGCCAAGAAAGCTTTATTTCTGCTCTTGGTTTTCTGGTTTCCTCAGGATGTGCGTACCATGTTGGAAGGCTCCAGGGAAGAGGAGGCCAGGAGCTACTTGCAGGGGCCTGGCTAGGGATGGGGCTAGGCTCACCAATGCAGGAAATGGCAGTGGAGTCCAGGGTGTACCCAGCCTGGCAGTGGCAGCGGAAGGAGCCAATGCTGTTAATGCACTCGCCATGGGGGCACAGGTGAGCAAGCACATGGCATTCGTTCACATCTGCGGACAAGCGGGGTAGGACTGTGTGGGATGTGTGGTGACACATCGTGTCACCAGGGCATGCCTCCTTCCTTCTGCTCACCAGCCCTCTTTCCAGAAGCAAGCCCAGTCTCCCTACCCCTTCCTCTTCCAGCACCCCAGCCCATGCAGACACGAACTTCAGACTGCGAGGTGTTCTCGAGCCAGCAGGACACAGTAATGGTGCTCCTTCCACACATACCACACACACACCCAGACAGTGCTGCAGAATCACAGAGACACACACACATACCTCAGCAAAGGCACCTCCCCCAGGTCTAGCCATGTCTCAGAGTCCCTGACACACTTGGTGACACTCTTGCTCATTCCCACACACACATGCACGTGCACACACATACCTACCTTCACACACTCGCTAGAATCCAGAACACCTTGGCCAGCTCACTCCCTGTCACTGACTTCTAGTCTGTGGATGGCATGTTCCTCTCCCACATCACAAGCACAGAATACACACCAGCTTCTATGCTCACACGCACACATGCACACTCATTAGCAAACCTGCACACACAGAGAACACATACTGGCTCATAGAGAACACATGGCAGCTTGCACTCTCACCAATACACATGCATACACAGGCAAATTCATTAATACAATAATAGAAGGAGGACACACACCAACTATGTGCGCGCTTTTACCTCACTAACACACACGCTTGCCCATACAGAGAACAAACACTGGCTGAAGTGCTTGTGCATGCTCACTGGCATGCATGTACTTATGTACAAATGTATACACGGGAACACACCCAGCTCATATACTCACTAGCACACACATACACACGCTCATTAACATGTGCCATGCACACACTCTCGCACACTCATTAATGAGCTTGCACACACACATGTACTAGCTCACATATCTGCTCACCTGGGCACTGGACTCCATAAACACACACAGCACACATACTGTTCACACACACGTGCACATGTACACACCGAGTGGCTCACACAATCTAGCACACACATCCATACAACCTTGCATGGGACATCAAGGACCCCACCTAGGCCCTCAGTCGTGTAGCCTGAGCCGTGGGGACACAGCTTCCTGTAGGTGGAAGTGCCAGGCAGGGGACAGAGCTCGCAATGGGATCCCCAGGCCCGGCCGCCTCCACAGCAGCATGCAGCCCTGGACACAGCTTCAATACCGCTTGACCGGGCCTGGCACATAGCCTGCAGCACTTCTGTGAAGCACAGCCCCTGCCGGATGTCTGCAGAAAACAGGTAGGGATGGTGGGCAGGAGAACTGTGCCGCCCTGAACCCCTCCTTATGGTGTCCTCCCTATGCTATCAGTAGCTAGGCACATCTGCAGAGGGGGCAATCTGCCCAGTCATTGCCACTGGACACTGTGAGACACCCTCAACAGGCTGGGCTGGGCAGTGATTGCTCTGGGGGAGGCTCAGAAGCTGGGTGGCCTCTTGGAGCCAAGGGGCAGCATGCTTTGGCCACAGACAGAATGGATTGCCAAGGGGTAGAAGGGAATCCAGGGACCATCAGGTAGAGGACAAGAGGTGGTGATGTCCAGGATAGAACAGCAGGGTCAGAGGAGAAAAATGACATCCAGACAGGTGGGAAGTGAGGAGGACCAAATGTAGACTAGATATTGGGGTGAGGGACAGGAGGACACTGGTCATTCTAGGAAGCTGACTTGGGCATCTGTCATGAGATGTGGCTTGGGATGTCTAATAGGCAGCTAGATACATCTGGCCTGAAGCTGGGGGATGGACACCATGCTCAGGGGAGGGAAGAAGAATGGTGGGACAAGCAGGGCACCAGTGGCTCACGCCTGTAATCCTAGCTATTCAGGAGGCAGAGATCAGGAAGATCGCGGTTTGAAGCCATCTTCCTGAGACAGGGTCTCAGAAAACCCATCACAAAAACGGGCTGGTGAATTGGCTTAAGGTGTAGGCCCTGAGTTCAAGACCCAGTACTGGCAAAAAAAAAAAAAAGAACGGTGGGCAGTAATGGACATGTGCCAGGACAGATGGTACCAGAAGGTCATCTGCTGGATTTATTTCCCAGGAAGTGGGAAATCTGAGGAGGGCTCTTTCTTGGGTGATGTGTTGGCCATTGGAAGAGTCATGGGAGATGGGTGGGATTGGGGGGAGGGGGGGTGGCTCTTCCAAAGTGTTTGATTGAAGGGAAAAAAAGGAAGGAAAGAGAGAAACAGACAGATAGACAAGAGACCGAGACAGGAAGAGAGAGAGAGCACATGTGTGCAGTGGACACGTGCGTTCTGATTGGCACAGCAACCCCCTGCATGTCCTCTTTGTACCCCCAGCCCTGACGCCATCCCTGCCTCATGGAGCACCCCAGTGACAAGGAGAGACAGGCAGTAGTGGCTGCACCCACCTAGCTCCTGTCTGGTCACACTCACCATGGCACTCGGTGAGAGTGGGGCTGGGCTGGAAGCCCTCGTCACAGTTGCACTGGAAGCTGCCCACAGTATTGACACAGTGTCCATGAGCACAGAGGCTGGGCTGAGTGTGGCATTCGTCCTCATCTGAGGTGGGAAGGATGAAGGAGACCAGAAGGGGAGGCAGAGCCGCGAGCCAGCCTCCCTACAGGTCCAAAGATCCCCCTTGGGTCTGCCCACAACCTCTTGCTTTGACCTCTCCCCTCTGTGGGGGGTTCCTGCACCCCAGAAGCACCCCATACCTGTGCAGCCCTCCTCAGAACCAGGCTGTGGCTGCATGCCTGGGGGACAGATGCAGGAAAAAGTCCCGATGAGGTTCTTGCACAGCATTCCTTGGATGTGACAATCTTGCAACCCATCTGCACACTCGTCCACATCTTTGGATGACCAGAGACAGGTGTTGGTCAAAGCTGGGTGCCCCATGTCCTGGTCCCAGGCAGGAAGGTCCTGGGTCACCCTCCTCCCCCTGCAGCCTCAGTGAGACCTCAGTGAGGTTCTTGCAGTCCTGCAAGGAGCCTGTCCCTAACAGGAAGAGAGCCACCAGACCCTGGGCACAGCCTCAAGGGGCTCAGGACTGCACTCAGCCCTCCTCCCCTACCACTTCAGGGACTGTGACTCTGTCTGCCTTAAATCATGGCTCCTGGAACATGAAACTCTGAAACAGCCTTGGACCAAGGACCAAGTCCCAGCCTCAGGATTTTGCCCTGACACTATGAACATTTGGGACAAGAAAGTCATTTGTGGTAGGAGCTACTATGTGTGCACTGTAAGATATTTAACAGCATCCCCAGTCACCCACTGTCAGCAGTGTTCCACTCCCCTGTGTGACAATGAAAAATGTCACAGACATGACCATGTGTTCTCTGGAAAGCACAATCACTGTCCTCTCTGTCCTACTCCATTGAGGGCAGGTCCAGCCCCAGCTGTCCCATTGGACTCTGGACCCAGGGAGATCCCATGTGCAGAACAGCAAAGTTTATAAAAGAACCAGAACTCTGCTATAGCTGGTGTGTCCCCAGAGTCCTATGTTAATGGCGTTTGGAGGTGGGCCTTTGGAAAGTGATTAGGACTGGATGGGGTCATAAGGTGGCATTAGTAGATTTATAACAGAAAAACCTGAGCTAATAACCTGTGCCATGTTGTGATGTAGCCCGGAGGCCCTCACCAGATGCAGTGTCATGTCTTTGGACTTCCTGGCCTCCAGAGCCATGAACCAAATACACTTTTATTTTTATTTTTCTCAATTACCCAGTCTGTGGTAATCAGTTATAATAGCAGAAAACAAACAAAGACAAATATTCTTTCCAACAAAGTGCCTACTGTGTGCTCATTTGATTTAGCTCTTTGCACATATGAACTCCCTCAATGCTTGTTCCCACTCTTGAGGGCTCAAGCCTTATTTCTCCATTTCACAATTAGGAAGTGGAGGACCTCAGACCACACCAGGGTCTGCTGAACTCCAGGGCCCAGCGAAGATCGTAAGACCAAAGGTGGGGAGCCCCAGGGCCCTGCCCCCATCTCCAACCAGTGCAGAGCATACCTCGGCACATGGCCCCGTCCTCCCGCAGGGCATAGCCGGCTGGGCAGGTGCACAGGTAGGATCCCTCAGTGTTGTGGCATCGAAAGGCACAGAGCAGCGGGTTCAAGGAGCACTCGTCAATGTCTGTGAAAGTCAGCAGAAACATTGGGTGGTTAGGTTCTGCCTACCCAGCCCTCCAGGCCACCCCTCCAGGTGTCCCTGTCACACAACTGTCCTGGACAGGCAGCAGCATACCCTCACAGGTCACCATGGGGCCAGGCTCAAAGCCATCAGCACAGGCACATTCAAAACCTCCAATGACATTGGTGCACGTGCCTTCTCCACAGGGGTGCCCGACAGAGCACTCATCTGTGTCTGGTTAGGGAAAAGGAAGGAATGGTCAGCACTTGTGAAGCCTCCGTTTTCAACATTATCCCATCTGACTTCTTTTTGAATGCCACAGACTGGATAGGCTGGCTAAGATGCAGGCATGAATATATGTTAAAAGAACGAATGAGGGGGTGAGTGAGTGGAGAGTGAACAGTAGGCAAGAGAATGAATGAGCAAGGGATTGAGGGAACAAATAAAATGAAGTGAATGAGTGTGAAAGAGCAAGTGATTGAGTTAGTGAGAGAATGAACGAGCAAGGGAGTAAATGAGTGAATAATTAAGTGGATAAATGAATGAATTATTACATACCTAAGTGAATGAATGGGTGAATAAGTGAAGGAGTTATTGAGTGCTTGAGTGAATAACTGAGCAAGGGAATGAAGGAGTGACCAAGAGAGTGACAATGAGGGAATTAATGAATGAGTAGGTGAAAGAGGGAATGAATGCATTATAATTGAGAGGAAAAATTAAATGAATGAATGAACAAGCAAGTGAGTGAGTGATCAAGTGATGAATGAATGAGCAAGGGGACAGATGGGGAGATGAACGCGTAAGTGAATGGATGAATGAGTGAATGAATGAATGAGTGAGTGAATGAGTGAAGCATGAGGAGTGAGTGTGAAGGGGCTGGGGCAGGATAGAACGGCTGCTCACCCACACAGCTGATGCCGGTGAAGTCCAGGCTATAGCCAAAGGGACATTCACAGCGGAAGGACCCGTCGGTGTTAATACAAAGGCCATTAGCACAGATACTGGGGTTCTCTGCACACTCATTCACATCTGCAGGCAACAGGGGTTGAGACAAACACCTGCCACTGTGACAACCCCAGGGCCACCCGTGTGACAAGGAAGGAGCCTAAGACTTGGGGATCCATGCAATGCTGAGATGGCAAGACTGGGCTGCTGAGGAGGGGCTCTTAATGGGTGACAGGCTCACCTTCTCTAGTGTCATCTGGTCCTGGGACTGCCCCATGGCCAAAGGGACAGAGTTCCTGAAAAGCAGCTGGACAAGAAGGGAGAGGAAAAGGGGAAGTCAGAATTAGGACCCTGTACAGCACCTAGGATCCTGGACTACTGACGGAAAACTGCAGGAGGAGGAGGAAGGAAAGCACAGGCCATCAGAGTTGTGCACGGATAGGGCAGATGCTCACCACTGCCCTCCTGAGGACACAGCTCACAGGGGTCGCCCCAGCCTTCCCCAGGCCTCTTACTGCAGCAGCACCGGGTCTTGGTGGTGTTGAAAGCTTTGGGCACCAAGCATTTCCCAGCCTCAAACCCAGTGAAGCAGAAACTCTGACGCATGTCTGTGGGATGGCAAGTAGGGGGCTCCATTACTATAATTAAGGACCATCAGCAGCAGGCACCTGCACGGTCCCCCTCCTTCACCCCTACTGAAGGGGCAGAGCTGATCCTACTAGCAGCCAATCAGAACACTTGATGTCCCCAGGCATGGTGATTGGCTCAGGAATTAACACATGACCCACACTGGGCCAATGAGGATCAGCCTTGGGACTTTGGCTGGACAAATGGGAATCCCTTCCACCAATTCCAACCCACTTCACTGCTGTGGGGTGCCCTTGCACGGGGAAGGATCCAACTGGGCCAGTTACTTTTGGATCAGAAGCCCCTTCCTGGAGAAACAAAGCCTCTGATTCCAGGGGACCAGGGGACCCTTCCTGCCCCTAGCAGATTCCAAACCCTCAAACTTCAGTTCCACTGTACTCCTATCGTGAGAAGTTCTCAGGGGCAGGCTAGGATGTTGCTCACCACTGGACCCCAGATCCCCAGAACAACAGACATTGCTCCAGTCCAGCTACAGGCTGTGCTCTCATCCTTTTTGCTCCTAACCTGTGAGAGAAGGCTGGCTTAAGTTGAGTGAGGCTAGCCCTTACTGCACTAGGCTAGCCCAAATGAGATGAAGCCAGCCCAGATTGTTCTCAGCTAGCTTCAACTAACAAAACCTGTCCAGTGAGAGCAACTGCGATTAATCCAGGACAACCTAAGCCCCAGGAACAAGTTAGCCCCCTGTAGAAGTGATCTGTCTAGTTAGAACTCCTGAAATGTTGTAGAAACATTACTGGGTCATATCCCCTTACTGGGTAATAGGACCTTACTCCCCACCACCCTCTTCCCCAAGCCCTGAGTGCTCCCCGAGCTCCAGGCTCACCAAAGCAATGGTGTCCATTGTCAGAGAGGACAAAGCCAAGAGGGCAGAGGCACTGGAAGCTCCCGGGACTGTTGGTACAGGTGCCAGAGAGGCAAAGGTTAGGCTCCTCCAAGCATTCGTTGATATCTGGAGGGGCAGAGACATGAGCTGGGATGGGTACAAGTTAGGTCCTCTGTCACTATGCAGAGGACTTGACTGTGGGGGACAGGCAGATGCAGTGGGGGTCCAGCCCTCATGGGCCCAAGGGCTGAAACAAAGCAGGGAACCTGAGGGCTCAGTATGTACCATAGCACTAGGTTGGGGGGTGGTTTTTCTCCAGTGTGTCCAGAGTATAGGTGTGGTCAAAAAAAGTTTATTTTTAGAGACTTAAATTTTACAAAGTTAACTGAGACTGGGATCAGTTTAACCTGTACTAAATGAAGTCCGCTCATGTTGCACCAGGCTAACCCAGATGGAATAAACCAGAAGGGGCCAAGTCAGACTGTCCACATTAGCCCAATGTATACAAGCTAGCCCATCTTCTCAAGCCAAACGGTCCAGGTTAGCTCAGATTTTGTAAGACTAGCCCAAACAGAAGATTGTACCAGAGGTGGTACAATCCAGGCTATCCTGGTTCAGGTTAGCACAGATTATACAAGGCTAGCCCAAATAAAAGAATAGAATAGAGGTGGTCAAGCCAGGTTGGTCTAGGTTAGTCTAGACTATACAAGCCTAGCCCAATGAGTGGATTGGTCACTCCTGTGGCTAGAAACTGGGCCAGACTGGTCTTTGACCACTTTTTTTTTTTTTTAAGAGTACCTGGGTTGGAACTCAGGGCTCATGTTTATGAGGCAGATGCTCTACCTCTTAACCTAAGCCTCCACCCATTTTTGCTCTGGTTCTTTTGGAGATAGGGTCTCACTTGTTTCCTGGATTGGCCTGAACTGCAAACCTCCTCATTTAACACTCCCGCCATCACTGAGATGACAGGTGTGTACCACCACACCTAGCTTTTTTCCATTGAGATGGAGTCTCACAAACATTTTTTTGTCTGAACTGCCCTGGAACTGTGATCCTCCCGATCTCAGCCTCCCACATAGCTGGGATGACAGGTGTGCACAACCATGCCCAGCTACTGGATGAGATGGGGGTCTTGTGAACTTTTTGCCTTGAATTGCGATCCTCTGGACTCAGCCTCCTAAGTTGCTACAATTACAGGTATGAGCCACCTGTGCCCAACCCTTGACCACTTATGGAGTGAGAAGTTCTATTATTGGATGCTCTGAAGTGCACTGATACCAAAAACCCATGTCCATTTTATAAGGAAGTCTGTGGACCTTGGAGAGAAAGCCCTGAGCCCAGGAGTAAAAAAAAAAAAACAAACAAAAAACAATCCTAACAGTAACAGTATATGGAGCTGTGTTTGGTGCTGTGCTAGGTGTATTTCTACCTCACTATTATCTGGCTGGTATTCCCATTTTACAAATGAGGAACTGAGGCCCAGAGGTACCTCCCTGTCCCCAGAGCTGGGAGATGGGAATGAACACTCACCAACACAGTGGTCACTCTGCACCTGGAAGCCAGCGGGGCAGATGCAGTGGAAGGAGCCCTCGAGGTTCTGACAAGTGCCGGACCGGCAGGTTCCCGTGAGGCTAAGACACTCATTGATGTCTGTGGAGAGGAGAAGGAGGGGATCCCAGTGCCAAAAAGGAGGCAGAGGGCTCACCAGGATCTGGAGCCAATACCTGCAGTCACTGTTTGACAGCCAAGGGCCCCAGGATGAGCCCTTCCAGTGACAGTCTGGATCCAAGGGAAAGGCTGAGAGTCCAGAAAACAGGGATAGCAGAGAAAGGGTTTATCTGGCCTTAGTGGGGTTATAGGTGGTGCCAGATTGTGTCCTGGGGGCAAGAGGGAGCAAGATACCTTCTAAGATTTCGGATTTTTTTTGTTTGTTTTCTGCAGTATTGGGATTTGAACTCAGGGCCTTGCATTTACTAGGCAGGCACCCTATCACTTAAGCCACGCTCCCTCCTTTTTGCTTTAGCTGTTTTTAAAATAGGGTGTCATGTTTATACGCGGGCCAGCCAGAACAGCTATCTTCCTATTTATGCTTCACATATAGCTAGTATGACAGGCATGCACCACCACACCCAGCTTTTATTAGTTGAGATGGGGTCTTGCAAACTTTTGCCTGGGCTGGCCTTGAACTGCCATCCTCCCAATATCCTCCTCCTGAGTAGTTAGGATTACAGGCGTGAGCCACTACCCCAACTCCTTCTAAGATTTCTGTGGCTTCCATTTAGCTCCTCAACTATTCCTTGTTTCAGAAAATTTACATTTTCAAGACAGTCTCACTCTAAACCACACCCCCGGTGAAAATGGAATGTGCTAGTTTTTTTTTAGTTTAATATTATGCCTTAAAATGCACAGATAGTAAATGAAACCATGCTTGCTCAAAAGTATCAACTGCAGGTAAATGTGACACAAGGGCTGGCTGAGATGGTTTCAGCAGCGTGAGGAGACTTACCCATACAATTCTTCCCATCAGCCGTGAGCTCGAAGCCATCCTGGCACAGACACCGGAAGGAGCCAGCCATATTGAGGCACTGGCCAAATCGGCACACCTGTCCCACCAAGGTAGTACACTCATCAACATCTGCAGGGGGGTGATAGGCAGGAAGGGTCAACCACTGAGCCCGAGGAGACTAAGCCTCCCTTGCACTCCTGTCCACAACTAAGCTGAGTTGATGGCATTGACTTTAATGCATCGAGCATTCATGTATGACTGTCTTCTTATTAGCCTATGAGGAAGGTACCAATATTTTCTAATATAAAACCATGTAAGGCTATGAAAGTGCCACTAAATGCTCTTAGCTGCATCCCACACATTTAGATGATATGTATTCATTTTCATTTAATTAAAAATATTTACTAATTGCCTTTACAATTTCTTCTTGGATCTATGAATTATTTAGGAGTGTGTTGTTTAATTTCCAAATCTTTGGGAACTCTGAGCATCTGAATTCTACCTTCATTCCCTTACAACCCAAGGACCTATTTTGTGTGTCTTCAATTCTTTTATGGCCCAGAATATGGTGTTTCCTGATGAAATTCCATGTACATTTGAGAAGAGTGTGTATTCTAGAATGTTTTATAAATATCATTCAGGTTGAGGTGGTTGATAGTGTTGTGCTTGCCTTCTATATCCTTCTTGATTCCTGTCTACTTGTTCTTTTTATGACTGAGGGAAGCAAGTTGAAGCCATCAACGATAATTGGATTGCTTTACCAGTTCTCTCAATTTTTGCATCATATATTTTGAAGGTCTGTAGTAGGATGCCTATGCATTTATGATTAGGTCTTCTGAGAGAATCGACCCCCTTGCTCAGTATATATATATCTCTCTCCCTTGCTCCTGGAATGGAGCGCAGGGCCTTGAGCAGGCTAGGCAAGTGCTCTACCACTGAGCCACACTCCCAGCCTAATGTGTCTCTCTGATAGCATTCCCACTGACAAGTCTATGTAGTCTGATATTTTTTACTCTGGTAGGTATTATCATTAACTCCCTTTTACAGACAAGAAAGTGGAGGCACAGAGAAGTAAATGACTTGTTTAGAATCACAGAGCTGGTAGATGGCAAAGTTAGGATTTGAACTCACACTGCCTGACCTCAGAGTCTACATTTTTTACCTAGTGTCCATATTTTTTACCTAGTACACTAAACAGGTAGAGAAAGACTTTCTCTCTCTTTTCATCCAAGAAATCATAAAGCTAGAATATATTTTAATTGAATGAAAATGAAAACCTAACATATCAGAATTTGTGAGACGCAGCTAAGAAGCACTTAGAGGCAAATTCATACCATTTAATTGTATTATCCATCTGCCTCCCACCAACTTCAGCTTCAACTCTGACAAGAGGTCCCTAAAGTCCCCCCATTGGCACCAGGTGATTGAAAAGGTATGGAGAATTTTGTGGTTAACTCCTTTTCAGAGGAAATCCAGCCCAAGGTTCCATATGGCTCCCTAGGTAGAGATCTTTGATTGAAGAGGAACCTTCAGGCATGGATCCACTTTTCAGTGGGGAACACTGAGGCCTGGCCATTGACTCATTGACCCAGCCAGCTTACCCACACAGTCCCCATTGTGCGTTGCTACAAAGCCAGGGAAACAGAGGCAGCTGTAGGAGCCAACGATGTTCTTGCAGGTCCCATTTCCACATGGCTGTTGGTCACATTCATCCAGATCTAACAGAGCAAAAGCCCACAAACCCACTCAACTCACTCAATGGCATTGAGTAGCTTAGGGAGAGACTTTCTGGCTGGACCTAGCCTGCCTCCCCTGTACCAAGCCCTCCCTACATGGCTAGGTAGCAAGCCCTACAGGGAGTGGTTGGGAAGTATCCCTGGTTCTATTTATGATTCCCACTTTACAGATGGAAAAATTGAGGCACAGGGAGGAAAAACAGAGTCATTTGCCCAAGATCTTGGGTTCAAGTCATACCTAAGATGCCAAGATTCGAACCTGGGCCTGTCTGTGAGTTAGGATGGATGAACAAACCATCCCCACCCCAGGGGAGATGAAGACCCCAGGCAGAGCCTGGCCTGAGAGGAGGAAGTAGGAGGGGCTCTCACCCATGCACAGGGTCTGGTCCGCCGAGGCCTGGAAGCCCTGGTGACACAGGCACAGGTAGCTGCCCTCCGTGTCCACACAGTCACCATGGCTACAGACATTCGGGATCTCCTCGCACTCATTCCGTCCTGGGGGCACAGGCAGCATGATGTCCCCAGTGTCCCACTGGTGTTTCCCTGAAACCGCCCCCCACCATGCTGCAGCAGGGGAGTCAGTGCCTGACTTAAAGCTGTCCCTCACATAACAAGCTTCCCCCCAGGGACCACGGGTTGCCACCTCCATCACATCTTATTTCACCCTCACAGCTGCGCTATTGATGGGTGCTTATTAGAATAGGGAGAAAGACCTGTGCGAAGCCACACCCCACACATGTCACAGCAAGCAACAGAGCCCACTGCCCTCACCTCCTTCTCCCTTGCTCTGCTGGAGTCTGGCCTGTCACTTCCCTGGGGACCCACTCACCTACACAGGCCCCACTGGGCGACAGCTTGAAGCCTCGGGCACACTCACAGCGGTAGCTGCCAGGGATGTTGACACAGTCTGCATTCCTCTGGCAGGGATGATTTCTACTGGTACACTCATCCACATCTGGGGGGCCCAGCAGACAGAGTGGGAGTGAAAGAGAAGCCCACCCTGACAGAAGCAAGCCCCAAACTGAGCTTCTGAGCGGGTGGTCTCTCTAGAAACAGCCAAGACTGGAATGAGGATGGTTATGGGGGAATGGAGAGCATCAGCAGGCAGGTGTTAGTTCTGTTATTCAGATAGGGAAACTAAGGCTCACAGGGTATTTTACATGGCTCGCCCAGTGGGGGACTGGTATCCCACCCAGGCCCCAGGGCTGGGGACAGAGTGAGGAGGTGGCACCTTCGCAGGTCAGCAAGTTACTGTTGTACTCGAAGCCCAGGGGACACTCGCAGCGGAAGCTCCCAATTTGGTTGATGCAGATGCCATGGGCACAGATGGCTGGGATCTCCCCACACTCGTCAATATCTAGGGGTCACAGTAGCCATCAGGGACTGCCCAGCCCTGGGGACTTTCTGGGGACAGTGAGCTCGGAACCCACTAGTCCTGGAGTGTAGCAGATGTGGTCACAAATCACACATGTTGCACAAATCCTGCTGAGGTCAAAATGCATCCACTCACACCAGAAAGAGGCCAGGATGTGCAAGAATGGCAAGAGCAGGAGAGAGTGTTACTCTCAATTGAAAATTCATATTTTAAGTTGGTGCCAATGGCTCACGCGTGTAATCCTAGCTATTTGGAAAGCTGAGATCACAGGGTCGCAATTTGAGGCCAACCTTGGGCAAAGAGTTGGTAAGACTCCATTTTCAAAATAATCAGAGCAAAATGGATTGGAGGTGTAACTCAAGTGATAGAGCGCTTGCTTTGCAAGCTCAAAGCCCCTCCTTCCTGAGGGAGGGAGGGAGGAAAGAAGGAAGGTCACACATTTCCCGTGACCTAGCAACCCTGCTCCTCACAAGCTACAGAAACTAAGAGTGCTGTGTGAGCAAGAAAACTGGAAGAGGGGCTGGGCACAGTGGGGCACACCTGTAGTCTCAAGTATTCAGGAGGCTGAGGCAGGAAGATCACTTGAGCTTAGGAGTTCGAGATTAGCCTGGGAAACAGAAGACCCCGAGAAGAAGGAGGAGGTGGAGGAGGAAGAAGAGAAGGAGGGAAGTAAAGAAGGGAAGGAGAAGAAGGAAGGAAGAAAAAAATAGAATGAAAAGGAAAAGGAGAAGAAAGAGAAGGAGGAGGAAGAAGAAAAGGAGGAGGAGGAGGGAAGAATGAAAGCAAGGAAAGAGAAAGAAAGGAAAGAAGGGAGGAAGCGAGGCAGGGAAGTAAGAGAGGAAAGAAAGAAGAAGGAAGGAAGGAAGGAGAAAGAGAAAGAAAGAAAACTGGAAAGAGACAGTACTTAGCAAGAAACTGAACAATTGATTGATTAATAGGTAATGAGCTGTGAATATTTTGTGGAATATTCTTTAGCCATATGAAGCATTGGCACATGAACCCTGAAAACAGGATGCCGGGTTAAAGAAGTCATACACAAAAAGGCAAATATGGCAGGACTCTGGAAGTGTCAAGAAATGGCATATCAAGAGAGAAAGATTTGACAGGCACCTGTGACTCAAGCCTATAATCCTAGCTACTCATGAGGCAGAGATCAGGAGGATTGTGGTTCAAAGCCCGCCCGGGCAGATAGTTCAAGAGACCTCATCTCGAAAATACCTAACACAAAAAGAGCTGGTGGGGTGGCTCAAGGTGTAGGCCCTGAGTTCGAGTCCTGGTACCACCAAAAAAAAGAAGGGGCAGAGCAGTGATTGCTCATGGGGACAGGAGTTCTTTCTTTTCTGTTTTTTTGAGGCAGGTCTCTCTATGCAGCCCAGGTTGGCCCCAAATTTGCAGTCCTCCTGCCTCAGCCTCCTGAGTGCTAGGATTACAGGTGTGTACCACCATGTCTGACAGGATAAGTTTTTGTTTTGTTTTGTTTTTGTAATGAAGATGTTCAAACTTAGATGGGGGATAGTTGCTCAACTCTGTGAACTCACCAAAACCCACTGGATTGTGTACTTTAAATGAGTGACTTGTGTGGCACATGAATTATATCTCAATAAAGCTCTTCCTCCCTCTCTCTCTCTCTCTCTCTCTTACAGTTGACCCTCCATATCTGTGGGCTTTGTATCCATGGGTTCTGCATCCACAGATTCAATCAACCTTAGATCAAAAATATTTTTTTAAAAAATAGAATCTCAGGCTGGGCTGTAGCTCAGTGGCACCTGTGCAAGGCCTGGGTTCCATTCCTAAACAGAAAGAAAGAAAAGAAACTGCATCCAGGGCCCAGTGTGGTGGTTCACACCTGTAATCCCAGTACTTAGGAGGCTGAAGTAGGAAAGTCATGTGTTCAAGGCCAGTCTGGGATATATAGCAAGACCCTGTCTCAAAAAAAAAAAAATCTATGTTGAATGTGTACAGACTTTTTTCTCACATTATTCCCTAAATAGTACAGCATAACAACTATTTCTGTGCCATAGCCTTAGAAGTTATGTAAAGATGAGGTAAGGACATGGGAGGACGTTCATAAGGTTGTATGCAAATACTATGTTATATTTTATTTTTGTGGTTCTGGGGATCAAACCAGCCTCGCTCATGCCAGGAAAGTGCTCTACCTCTGAGCTTCATACACAGACCCTGTGCCATTTTATACAGGGACTTGTGCATCTGTGGATTTTGGTGTCTATGGGAGTTCTGGAACCAATCCCCAGTGGACAGCAAGGAAATATGTATAGTTACAACTATAGTTATTACACACATACACACACACATACATACACACACACATACATATACACACACACATAAAAATACACACAAACATATTCACACACACACACACACACACACACACAGCCTAAGTGCCACAGTAGGGACTAGCTCATGACCTGGAGTGCAGCCAGACTGTGGAATGTTCCAAAGTGAGACAAAGAGGAAGGCCACACTGCATATGGCCACTTCTTCAGTTTTGGGTAAAAAGGAGCAAGTCAGGGGCCAGTGTACCAGGTATTGTAGAATTTATGTAAAACTCTCCCAGAAAGTTGGCTTAATGCTTTCAACATGGGGAACCTGTATGTGTCATGAGTGAAAATAATTCTAGAAACAAACATTCTAGGTGTAAAGCATAAGCAATGTTCAGGGAGTGGAAGGAGACAGACCTGGGCGGTAACAAGAGGAAAGTGTGTTTTCTCTGCACATCCCAATTTTGTAAAAGTAGGAGAAGACCTCTGTAGGCTTCAAGCAACTAGAAGCGCATTCACCAAACAAGCACCACACAGCTGAAATTAGGCGCTCAGGTGTAAAACTGCACAAAACCCTGTTTAACTTACAAAGAGAGTATTCTGTCATTTCTGTTACATAGTAAGACTAAAGTATTCATACCCATGTACAAAAACAGAATAATGAAACCTGTTAAAAACTGTTTTTAAAATGGGGGGAGGGAGGATAAGGAACAGTAAAAGGGGGTGAATTTGCTCAAAGTACACTATATGCATGTTTGGAAATATCACAATGAAAGCCCTTTGTATAATTAATATGTGCTAATAAAAAATTAGAAAAAAAGAAAAGGAAGAGAAAGAAAGAGAAAAAGAAAAAAAGGAAGCATTCTTGGGGTGGGATTCCTGGGGAGTTGGAGGTACAGGGAAGATGGGGAGAGAGGGTGGGAAGGAAAGAGCTGGGGACAGGGGAAGGGAGAGGAAGAGCCAGAAGGACTGGCGCTCAGAGGTGATGGGCGGGGGGCAGCTGTCACTCACCAAGGGGCTTCCGTGTGGATGTCAATGACGAAGCCGGGGACTGGGTTCCCACACAGGATCTGGTAGTCAGCTGGGCAAAAGAGACCAGAGCTGCAGACCAGGTCCACACCCACTCCAAGAGACCCCCTCACCCCTGAAGCTGTCCCCATCTTTAAGCGGCCCTGGATTGAAGGCTGCTATAGTCCCATGCAGTGTGATCTTCCAACACACAGATGGTGACCTCCGTCTCTTCCTTGTCCAGGAAACACCAACCATGCCTCACCAAACACCAAGCGCCAAGACTGCTCAGTTATCACTTCAAGACCTTCACCCCGCCCCACTATCCCTCCAGCAGAAATTCCTGCCCCCAGCCATGAGTATAGCCGTCTGTCTGAATGTGACCAGCTCTGTCAAGCAGCCACACCTTTGCACAAGCTGTTCTCTCTGTCCACAGGGTCCTTCTCTCCTTACCTTCCTCAATGCTACGGTTTGATGTATCTCCCAAAATTTTACGTTCTGAAAACTTAATCTCCAAAGGCATATGTTGATGGTGTTTGGAGATGGGGCCTTTGGGAGGTGATTAGCATTAATGAATTCAAAGAGGGTGATAGGAGTGGGGCCAGGATGGCATAGTGGCTTTAAAAGAAGAGGAAGAGAGCCAGGCATGGTAGCACATGCCTGTAATCCCAGCTTCCCTGGAGGCAGAGGTAGGAGCATTGTGATCCAAGTGATAGAATACTTGCCTAGCAAGCATGAGGTCCTGAGTTCAAACCACAGTACCAGCAAAAAGAGAGAAGAGGAAAGAGGGAGAGGGAAAGAGGGAAGAAAGAGGGGAGAGTGAGGAAAAAAAAAGAGGGAGGGGAAAGAGGGAGGGGAAAGGGGAGATTATGGGGAGAGGGAGAGGGAAGAAGTGGGAAGGGAGAGGAAGGGAAGAGATGTAGCTACAGGCCAAAGATCACTGAAGAACCCCTGGAGTCACCAGCTGGTGACTAAGAAGAGGTAGGAAGAGTTTCCCTTGGAGTCTCCAGAGCACAGCCCTGCTGACACCCTGATTTTGAACTTCTGTCCTCCAGAATTGTGACAGCCCCCTCCCCCAAGTTGATGATAAAGGGTTTCCAGCAGCCTCAGGGAATGAACAGACTCACTGCGTCTTTCTGCTCATTGCCCCACGTCCACGGCTCTTTCTGCATCCTGGTCTGGCTGCTACATCATCCCAACATTCTGCTTTGCCTTGTTAGAGACAGGCTCTCGCTTTGTAGCCCAGGCTGACCTCGAACTCACAATCCTCTTGCCTCTGCCTCTGAGTAGCCAGAATTACAGGCCTGTACCACAGTGCTGGCTTCTAACAGGTTGTTTATCATGTGCCACCATCCTCTGCTCAGTCTGCCAGTAGCTGTTTGCCCTTGCCGTTCCCTTACCTGGACCCCAGGCTCTCATCAGGGGTCTAATCTTCCTCTGAATTTCCTCAACTCTCTGTCTTCCCCAGCCCAGGGTTGGGGGATGTTCTAGGTTTCTCTAACCCTCTGTGCTTTTCCCCCTGGTCCAGGCACTCACCAAGCCCCACCCACTAACTAGCTCTGTAAGTCTCAAAGAGCTTTTCCCACCACCGACCAATCCTGAATTCACAGAGTCTGCAAAATGTTTGGCCCACCTGAAATCCTGGTTTCCATACACAGGAAGGTGGCTGACTCTCCAGCTCTCATCAGAACAAGGAGATGAATAGTTTAGAACCCTCCGTGCACTGTGCTAGGAGGGGGCCAGGCTGGGGGGCAGGTGGAGAGGAGGGCACTCACGGCTGGCAGGGGTGGGGCAGGCCTCACAGGGTCTGTTCCAGGCCCGGCCAATGTTGTAGGAGCAGCAGCACATCCTCCGGGTCACGTTCAAGGGCAGCTCGTTCTCACACGTGCCGTTATAGTGCCGGGAACACACACTCTCTCTCATGTCTACAGTCAGCATCAGCGGGGAGAAGAATGGGCGGGGTCCGAGGAAGAGAGGGCCAAACAGATGAAGAGCTCATTGATGGACAGCTCTCCTCCCCAGCACACTATTCATATTTTGGCTTTTCTTGGGCAATGCAAAACCTGAGCAACTCTTCATGGCAGCCCTGGGCTCTCGTGTCCTGTCATACTGTTCACTGACACATGTCAGTTGTTATAGCAATTACCCTCCTCCCATCACGACACCGCCTACCCATGCAGTGCTTGCCGCCGTTGACTTGCAGGTACTCCGCAGGGCAGACACAGGTGTAGTTCCCCAGGGTGTTGTAGCATGTGCCAGGGGCACAGATGCCTGGGTGCACAGAGCATTCATCGATATCTGCAGGGGAGGGGGACTGGCGTCAGTGTCCAGCGCCTGTCCGAGTAACTCCAGATCCCAAACTCAGCAGTTACTTCTTTACAGGCTTCGATTTGGTTTCAAAATCAGTTTAAAATTGTACAGACACTTTAGTGATATGGAATGCTATCACAGGGTATAACATGATAAAAGTATGCAATGATACCAATTCTGTTAAAAAAAAAATGACCTGAGCTCATATGTTCATTTTGTTATCACTAAGAAAGAGCAGCCGTGTGGCCATAATGTGAGGTGACAGAAAGCAGGAGCCCCATTGAGAAAGTGCAGTCACCCTCCCCTTATCCTTGTTCCAAGACTCCCACTAGAAGGCTGGTGGAGTGGCTCAAGTGGTACAGCACCTGCCTAGCAAGCTTGAGGCCCTGTGTTCAGTCCCCAGTACACCAAACGAACAACAGTCAGGCACCGCTGGCGCACACCTGTAATCCTCGCTACTCAGGAGGCAGAGATCAGAGAACTGCAGTTCAAAGCCAACCCCAGGCAAATAGTTTGTGAGACCCTATCTTGAAAAACCCAACATAAAAAAGGGCTGGCAGAGTGGCTCAAGTGGTAGAGCTCCTGCCTAGCAAGTGTGAGGCCCTGAAACAAACAAATATACAGTGGATGTCTAAAAATATAGATACTACCAAATCCTATATTTACTATATTTTTCCTACATTTCCTGTATTTTTCTACTTATGCTAGAGCTTAATTTACAAAATTAGGCACGATAACAACAAAAATTAATAATAAATAAGGATAATTATGAAATATACTGTAATAAATATTTAAAACTTTGCTGTTTATTTCTGGAATTGTCCATTCAATATTTTTAGATTGATCATGGGTAATTGACACCATAGAAAGTTGAAAATATGATCCAAGCATAATGGCTCACACCTGTAATCCCAACTATTCAGGAGGTAGAGATTGGGAGGATTGCAGTTTGAGGCCAGTTAGTGAGACCCCATCTCAACCAATAAACCAGATGTGGTGGACCATACTGGTAACCCCGGCCATGTAGGAAGCATAGGTAAGGGGATTGCAGTCTGAGGCTGGCCAAGGGCAAAAAGTGAGACCCCCACATGGAAAAAAAAACTCAAAAAGAAAGTGAAAATGTGGATAGATAAGGAGGATCACCGTATTACAGAGGGAAAAAACTGATTCTCAACCTACTCTATCCCTTTAGTTCAGAGGCAGCAAACGTAGATATTTTTTTTTTGAGGCAAACTAAAGTTTCTAATAGTAATTATTCAATCTGTCATTGTAGTATAAAAGCAGCCAGGGACAACATGTAAAGTAATTATGGTATTTACTGTACTCCAAGAAAACTTTAGTCATGGCCCTAAAATTTCAATTTCATATAATTTCCATGTGCCCAAAAATATTCTTTTGATTTTTCCCCCAACAATTTAAAAAATGTAAAAAGCATTTTTAGCTAATGGGCTGTTTAAAAACAGGTGCAGAATGTAGTGCTAGAAGTGATGTCACCAAAAGTGACTGAGTAAGTGACAACCATTCTCCACTCCTATTAGGCAAAGAACTAAAAGAAGAAAATTCAACATTTGCAGAACTTTGGAATGTAGTCAAAAATTTATGATTAAAAAAAGAACTATGAGCCAGGTGCCAGTGGCTCACACCTGTAATCCTAGCAACTCAGGAGGCAGAGATCAGGAGGATCACGGTTTGAAGCCAGCCCAGGCAAATCATTCACGAGATCCTATCTCAAAAAACCTCATCACCAAAAAGGGCTGGTGGGGTGGGTCAAGGGGTAGAACACCTGCCTGGCAAGCATAGGCCTTAAGTTCAATCCCAGTGTTGCTGAAAAAAACAAAACAAAACTATGAGCTGGGTGCTGGTAACTCCCACCTATAATCCTAACTACTTGGGAGGCTGAGATCGGGAGGACCACAGTTCAAGGCCAGTCCAGAAAAATAGTTCCCCAAACTCCATCTCCAAAATAACCAGAGCAAAATGGACTGGAGATGGGGCTCAGGTAGTACAGTGCCTGCTTGGCAATAATGAAGCCCCAAGTTCAAACCCCAGTCCTACCAAAAACAAACAAACAAAAACACTATGCCATGTTGTAGTAGGGGTGCTCTGTGGCATTTTCAAGAGTCTCTTACCCTCCCCCAACTGCAGACCCACAGCAGCCAAGAGAACCTTAGAGCAGCAAAAGAGAAGTGACATATGTCATACAAGGGGTCTTCAATTAGGTTAACAGACAATTTCTCTTCCGAAGCCACAGAAAAGAAAACAATGCTAGGAAAATATCCTATCATCTAAGAATTCTGTATTTGGCAAAACTATCCTCAGAAATGAAGGAGAACTTAAGATAGCCCTAGAAAAGCGAAAACATAGGGAGCTCATCTCTGGTAGACCTTAGAAGAAATACTAAAGTCTTCCAAATAGAAGAAAAAGACACTGGAGAACAACTCAAAGTAATACAGAGAAATAAAGGACAATGAAAATGTTGGCAACATAGTAAATATAAAAGCCAGCGGTATTGTATTTTTTTCCCTGTATGATTCACGAGATAAATGCATAAACAATTATTTTTTAATTAGAGATGAAAGTTTACTATGTTGCCCAGGCCAGTCTCAAACTCATGGGCTCAAGCAACCTTTGTGCCTCTGCCTCCCAAGTAACTGGGACTACAGATGTGCACCACCATGCCTGGCTAAAAACAATAATTATTAATAAATGTTAACAGGCACACATTTTATAAAGATGTAATTGGTGATAAGAACAACATGGAGAGGAGATGGAGATGGAAAAGAGCAGAGTTTTGTATACTATCATAACTGAGTTGGTATTAAACTTGATTGTTGTAAAGTTAAGATGCTAATTGTAACCTCAAAACAACGTCTTGAAAACTTGAGAAAAAACTTGAAAAGTGTACAGAAAAAGAAACAATCAATGAACATAATATACCACATTCACAACCAGTTGGTGTTGCTGCTGGGAGTATAAAATGGTGCAGCCACTGTGCCATGACTTGAACCAGAAATGAAAGTGGAGACATCACTAACAACATTAAGAAGGCTGGGTTCCTGTAGAATACAGTTGTCCTTATGTGGATTTCCATGCCTGACTGGACGTAGGTGCTCAGTTACTACTGGCTGGAAGAGAAAGGATGGATGGATGGATGAATGGATAGATGGGTGGGAAGGTGGGTGGATATACAGATGAATGGATAGGTGGGTGGGTGGATGGATGGATGGATGGATAGATGGATGGGAGGGTGGTAGATAGATAGATGGATGGATGAATGAATTTGTAAACTGCATCAAAAGAGTTCAGGCTTGAGGATCAGAAAGGTGGGTTCAGAGCTGGTCTCCATAGCTGGTGCTTCTGGACAAATCTTTTAATCTCCTTGGGCCTTACTTTCTGCATCTGAAAAATGGGATCAAAATAGGAAAGCTTCCCTCATTGGGCTCTTGTGGTGACCAAATCACAAACAAGGATTCTCAGCACAATGGTAAACCACAGCCCTGGACACCAGCTAGCTGTTGGCCGTTACCATGATGCTCACTCAAAAAGAATAAAGTGACAGGTGAATTATGCTTGAAGAAAAAGTGAGACTGTTCCTTCTTATCTTTTCCTTCCCACCTGTTACCTCTGGGCTTGGTCAGCTTTGCCCTAAGGGAGGAAGGGCATGGTTTTTGTTGTAAAGCCAAGTCACTTCTTAGTGGGTAAAGAGCAGAACAATGGTGGGGCGGGGGATTGTAGATGGATGGATGCGAGAGGAAGAGGCAGCAGAGTAGAGGACAAACCAAGGCATTCAGATACAACCTTCTCCTCCCTAAGTCTTAAGAAGCTCAGCAGGGCAGCAGGAAGGGAGGGGAAGAGCCTGATGCAGCCTGGGGAGAGGTCACACTCACCCTCACAGATGCGGGTGTCCTCTTTGAGGTGGTATCCACGTGGGCACTGGCACTGGAAGCTGCCAAAGGTGTTGGCACAGTCTCCTCCCTGGCACAGACCGGGAAGCTCCTGGCACTCATCAATGTCTGTGTGGAATAAGGAAGCTGGGCATGGGAGCTAAATCCCAGCAGAGGACTGGGGGGCCCACAGGCTCCTGTGGGCTCCCTCAAGGATCCCCAAGAGCTCTCCTATGGTTGCTGGATATTTGGAGGGTCTACCTCAAAGGCTGGACCCAGACTCTCTTGAGTCAGTGCTAGCCTGAGTCCAACTCCTTTTATCTGTGTCAATCTTGCCATCCATGAGAGTTCCCTCAGGTTGTAATGTCTTCTCCAACCTCATCACTCCCTGCACATGGGACTGATGCAAGGATGGATGGATGGCTATGAAAAGTAGTAGATAGGTAAAGAAGCAATAGGGTCAATGGGTGAGAAGATGAATGAGTGGGTGGATGAGTAGGTGGATAGGTGAATAGATGGATGGATGGATGGATGGATGGATGGGTAGATAGTGCATGGGTGGATGGGGGGTAGATGGATGAGGGACAGTGGATGGAGAATAGATGATGGGGGATAAATGGATGAATGGGTACACAGGGGATGGGTGGATAGAAGGTAGATGGCTGGGGATAAGTGGATGGGTGGGTGGATAAGTGGGGAATCAGTGGATGGATAGATGAAGGATGGCTGGATGGGTGGAAGGATGGAGAATAGATGAGTGGATGAACAGATGGGTGGATAGAGCATCAATAACTAAGTGAATGGAGGATGGCTGGATGGCTGGCTGGCAGGACGGATGGTGAGTAGGTGAACAGATGGGTGGACAGTGGGTGGATGGATGGAAAGGCAGATGGATGGAAGGATAATAGGTGGATAAGTGAATGGATGGAAGGGTTGATAAGTGAATGTAAGGATGCATCAATGAACCAAAAAGCAAAAGAAGAAATGGCTGAAAGAATAGACTAAACATTCAATGCAAACTGAAAGCATAGCCTGATTCTTCTGCCTGGTGTCTGGGTGGAGGATACGACTCCCAGGCCACCCAACTTGGCCCTTTAGTGAGGTGGGGATGAGAGAAAGTGTGTCAGTGGGTGGATGGATGGGTGGATGGATGGACGGATGGCCTCCCAGGAACTCACCTTCCAGAATGACAGTGATGGGATTGGGCCGAAAACCCTCACCACCTGGGCACAGGGTTCTGTATTCAGCTGCAAGAGAAACAGGCGCTGATGAGAAGCTTGGTGGTGGGGCGGGGAGGGGGGGGGATTGGGACAAAATCTGAGGGAAACAGGAGGGAGATCCCCTGATAAGGGCTGAAGAGTCACAGCCCCCATCCCTCTGCTACACCAACTACATTTACTCATTCCCTTAACCTCTTGGGGCCAAGAGACCTTCACCAGTCTTGGAGCTGTGGCTGTGGCGGTGTGAGAGGGTAGATGTTAAATGTGGATTTATATTCAGCGTGTGAGCAGATGGCTCATGAGGTAGTGGCTTTGCATATGCTGGTCCCACTGCACTGCACACCCTTGCCTTTACTCTTCTAGGAAAACTCCTATTCATCTTTCAAAACCTCACTCAAGCTTCCTCCTGTGGGAAACCTTTCTTTCACACCTTCCTCTCCATAGCTTCCTCTTGGGCCATTGGCTAAGCCTCAATTCTCTATTCTCACAGTCCTGGGACTGTGGGTTCACAGGTGAAAGGCAGGTGTGCAGTAGCTGTAGCTTCTTCTCTAAATCCCCAGTCTCTAGGACAAAGTATAGAGGGACTCATTGTTTGTTGATTGACTGAGCAATGGATGACTAAAACACACAGAGAATTTGCAGAAAGTGACCATGGAGAGAGGTCTGGCCCATGAACTGCCAAGAGCATACTGTGTGACTCTGGATGAGACTCTCTCCTTTCTTGGTTCTCTATTTCTCTGTCCCCTAAAGCCTTCTGTGTGCAGAGATGACCCTAAGGTTCTGGGTCTCTGTGGCTGAAGCCACAGTTCCTGCCTGCCCTGCAGGGACTCACTGGTGTTTCCCACGGGGCACAGTTCACAGGGGTTGCCCCAGGCCTGGCCTAGGGAGCAACAGCAGGAGGCTCGGGTGACACCAACTCCAACCTCAGCACTGCAGGAAATGCCACTGTCCCCTCGGTCATGGGTGTCCAGGAAACAGTTCCCTGCCCGGGTGTCTAGAGACGAAGAAGGGGATAGTTAGCAAGTTGTGGAGAAAAAAAGCGTGTGTGTGAGAATGTGCATGTGTGCGCATGCACCTGTGTGTGCAACGGTATGTGTACACAAGTACTGTGCACCCGTGTGTGTACCTGGGGTCTCCCTGTGTGCCTTTATATAACTATATTTCTCTATGTAACTACTGTCTCTGCGTGCAACTGCAGATGTGGGTGCAGCAGTCTGTCTGTGTGTAACTACTGTCTCTGAATAACTGTGCATGTATGCCTATGTAATTACCATCTCTGACTGTAAATGTAAATCTGTGTAATTGTGTGTACCTCTGGGTCTATAACTCATCTCTGGGTGTAACTGTGTTTCTCTGTGTGTAATTCTTATCTGTTCTGCAACTGTGTATGTATGTGTGTGTAACTGTTGTCTCTGACTGTAACTACATGTCTTTATGTATAACTAACTGTGTGTGCCTAGGTGTATCTGTGTATAGCCATGTGTGTTTGTGTAGAACTGTATTTCTATGTATAGCTGTGCACCCCTGGGTAGGTCTTTGAGTATATCAGTATGTTTAACTGTTGTCTCTATAACTCTAGCTCTACAGATATGTATGTCTCTACATGTAACTGTGTGTGTCTCTGTGTGTGCTTCGGTATGTTTAAATGTGTGTGTGTATGCAGGCACACATGTGTGCGGGTGCATATGTGGTGGATGGGTGTTTCTGAATCAGCAAACATGGAAAATCATACAGAGGCCAGGCAGGAATGGTGTATGTGTGTATGTGTGCACGTGTGTGAAACCATATGTGCATGTGTCTGAATGTCTGTCTACACCATGCTGTATTTCAACAGACGACAAGGATTATCATGCTGGCCTGGCAAATGTCCTGCCTGTCAGGAGCAGGTGGATTTGCACAGGTTGACATCTAGGGTGACCCAGGCCACAGCTCTGCCCAGTTCTGCTGACCCCACAGCCCCCAGGTTAGAGCCAAGTGTGGACTCACCCACGCAGCCCACCCTACTGGGGTTCAGCTCAAAATCCTGGGGGCAGTTGCAGAGGTAGCTGCCAGGGGTGTTGACACACAGGCCATTAATGCAGTTCACAGGGTCTGCACACTCGTTGATATCTGGGGGCAAGGGGACACACACCAAAGTCAGCTGGAGCCCTCACTCCACTCCCTTTCCTCCAAGCCCTTACTTGGGGTCCACTCTTGAGTGCTAGACTACAGGATGAATCCATGGGAAATTCCAGGGGAAGGCCCTGGGAAGAAACTGGAGGGGACAGGTCCTGGCCAACCCCTCTCCTCCCCTGCTCTGTTCCTCTAAGCACAGGTTTGCCCCCTTCAAAACTCTTTGCCACCACAGTTCTCCGCAGCCAACATACAAAAGCCAGGTTTAGAAAATGATTTCAAACCAGGGATTGGCAAACTCCAACCCACAGGCCCAGTGCTTGATTATGTCAATAAAGATTTATTGGCACATAACACACCCACTCATTTACATATCATCTATGGCTGCTTTCAAGCCAAAGTGGCAGAGTTGAGTGGTGGCAACAGAGATTGTGGCTTGTAATGCCGAACACATTTATTATCTGCTCATTTTAAAAAACACACAGGTGGAGGACTATTTCAGTAAAGGTCATCCATTCATTCACTGCATTGATTCAGGGAATGGTAACGAGCAACAACACACAGTGACAAAAACAGGGAGTGATGGGGGACTATCTGAGAAGGGGAGTCAGGCAAGGATACTGAGGGGGCCAGTTGTGTTCTGCACCCCCAACCGCAGCTCAGTTGACCTCACACCTGCACAGTTGCTGCCACTTTGGTCCTGCTCATAGCCATTGTCACACATACAGCGGAACATTCCAGGCAGGTTCTCACAGCTCCCGAACATGCAGATGTCTCCAAGAGCACACTCGTCCACATCTGCAGGGACCCCAGGAGTGCCCACTCTGTCATGCAGCACACTCTGGGGACCCACCCACTCCATTCCCTGCCCCACCAGGCTCAGAACTCACCGTGGCAGGTCTGATGGTCCTCGGCGGGGTTGAAGCCCATCTCACATTCACAGCGGTATCCACCGGGTACATTGAGGCACTGCCCATTCTCACAGAGGTTCATGTCCTCAGCACATTCGTCCCTGTCTGAGGGGCCACAAAAAACAGCTGAACGCCAGAGAGGCTGGGATCCATGTGGGGAGAGCAGGAGGTCCCAGGTGCTTGAACCCTTCTCTGTCACCCAGGGTCCCAGAATTGAGCACTAGGAACGCAGACCCAAACTCAAGGTGAGCAGGTGACCCACACAGGGGCCAAGGAGTGGAAAGGTGCACACAGACTCCAGCTGAACAGGCAGAGAAGCTACTTTGTCCCTCAGGATTTGGAGCAGAACGCAGCCAGGAAGTAAGCAAGTTCCCATGCATTTAAAAGTCTAAGGCAGCTAGGCATTGGTGGCTCACCCCTGTAATCCTAGCTACTTGGGAGGCTGAGATTGGGAGAATCAAGTTTCAAGGCCAGTCCAGGCAAACAAATTATGAGACCCTCATCTCCAAAATAACCAGAGCAAAATGGACAGGAGGTGTGGCTCAAGTGGTAGAGCACCTGCTTTGCAAGCACCGAGCACTGAGTTAAAAACCCCATAAATAAATAAATAAATAAATAAAATGTCTAAACGGGGGGGGGGGGGGCAGAGTCCAAGGGATAAGCCACACAGGGTGGCTCACACCTGTAATCCTAGAACTCAGGTGGCTAAGGCAGGAGGATTGTGAGTTTAAGGCTAGCTTAGGCTACATAGTGAGGCCCTGTCTAAAAAAAAAAAAGCCCAAGAGAAAAGAGATTCCCTGTAGATTCCCTGTGACTCTACATTTGACTGAAGGATAGGGTGGGCAGAGGGCTGGCTCATGGGCTGAGAGAACAGTCTCCCCCAACACCCACAGGACAGTGGTTGGGTGAATCCAGCCCTGTGAGTGTCCCTCTTAGCCCCCTGCCCTGTCCACTCCATCTTACCTTCACAGGAGAAGCCGTCACCAGCAAATCCTGGGTGGCAGGCACAGTGGTAGGACCCGGGTGCATTGAGGCAATCAGCCCTTGGGCTGCATTGATGTTCCTGGATGGCACATTCATCCAGATCTGTATGAAACAGACCCCAAAAGTGTGTGCAATGGGGAGCTGTGGGGAGACAGACCCTCCCAGCCCAGCCCTGTATGACCTCCACAGACACCTCTGGGCCCCTCGCTCCCACCTTGCCCTCCACCTACCTCTTCCACTTTGCAGGGACTCCTCTGCCCCAGGTACTCACCATGGCATTCGAGGCCATCCCCCACCCAGCCTGGCTGACACCTGCAGCTGAAACTCCCAGGTATGTTGAGACAGGAGGCGTGGCTGTCACAGTTGTCCCCTCCCAGCTCACATTCGTCCATGTCTGAGGGGAGAGGGAGCCATGGTGGGACCCAGGCCCAGAAGGGAAGACTCAGTGCAGTAGCAGTGAAAAGCATAAGGGAGCAGCTCGCCCAGCCACCCAAGGAGGTTCCATCTTCTCCACAGTCTCAGAGAGAAGCCCCCAAACCCAATAGACCAGACCCCCAGCAGCCCTCAGCAACAGCCTGAAGTGGCAGTGAGACCGAGAAACACACAGGACAAGGAAAAACAAGTGAAATGATAAACAACAAATGCAATATTAAATAATATGCCCTTCTACATTGTGTTATGTTCATTCCTGCTGACAGAGCCCAGTCCTTATCGAAAGACACCACAGAGCACTGTAAATGCTACATTCCTTCACCCTAACCTCACAAAGCAACCCCACAGAGAACTTTAAACCCTGCTAAGACACCAAACCTTAAAGAAAACACACATTAAAATACCAAACATGTTCCTGTAACATAAAAGTAAATAATCATAAAAAAAAATAATAATAATCATGTGCCCTCTAATTTGACATTCTCACTAAAGTCACACAGCAACAGGCCAGGAATCAACAGATAAGACCTTAATAACAGAAACCTCAGCTACGATGCTAAGGTGTAAAAGTCAGGCTGGGTGTGGTGGTACACACCTATAATTCCAGCTACTCAGAAGGCAGAGATTGGGAGGATCACGGACTGAGGCTAGCCTGGACAAAAAAATTAGTGAGACCCCCATCTCAACCAGTAGGTTGGATATGATGATTCAAACTTGTCATCCCATCTACACAAGAGGCATAGGTAGGAGAACTGAGGTCCAGGCTGGCCTAGGCAAAAAGCACAAGATCCTATCCGAAAAATCAACTGAAAACAAAGGGAATGGGGGCGTGGCTCAAGTGAAGAGTGCTTGCCAAGCAAATGTGAGGCCCTGGGTTCAATACTCTGCACTGCAAAAACAAACAAACAAAAATTCACTATGTAGACAGGCACCAGTGGCTCCCGCCTATAATCCCAAATACTTGGGGAGCTAAGATCTAGAGGATCAAGGTTCGCTTTCAGCCTGGGCAAATAGTTCATGAGATCCCATTTCCAAAAACAACCAGGGCAAAATGGACTGGCGGTATGGCTCGAGTGGAAGAGCACCTGCTTTGCAAGCTCAAAGCCCTGAGTTCAAATTCCAATCCCACCAAAACAGCAACAATTAAAAAACATTAGTCACAGATTGTCGTGATGTTCCTACAGACCAAGGATGCTGGAGAGAGGCATGGGACAGATTCCCCTTGAGTCCCAAACAAGACATCAACCCTGCCCACACCTTGATTTCAGACTCCTGGCCTTTAGAACTGCCATTCAGGAGACAGAAGAAATCCTGGGTGTTCTAAACCAGCAGGTGTATTAATTCCTTGCTCAGCCCTGGGAAGCTAATTCTGTAACTATTCAAATGTTTAAATGGTCGTCCCTGTGTCATGCAAAATCTTCAGGCTGGGAAAGCTGCAGTGCACATTTGGGATTCTTTCTGTCAAGCTGTTTAAGGGAGCCCCAGGCTGTTTTATTCTCATGAGGTCTCATTAGTGGAAATCCCTAAGAATGAATTCTGTCCCGAGGCACAGGGACAGGTCCCTCCCACCTCCATCACTGACTCACCAGAGCAGCCCATGGTCCCCTTCCTGAAGATGTAGCCCAGCTGGCAGTGGCAGACAAAAGACCCCTTTGTATTCTCACAGTTCCCATGGAGACAGATGTGGGGGTTCAGGTCACACTCATTCACATCTGTAGGGGGAGAGGGCATGAGGACATGAGGCCTGAGGACTGGGTGCTAGGGAGAAAAGTGGGAGGGACAAGAGGGAGACTAAAAGCATTCCTAAGGGTCTCCAGGGGTAGAGAGCTCCCTCCAAGACTAAAACTGGCTACTTTAAGTGTATAGCTCCTGGAACACACCAGCCATTATTCCCAAAAGGATTGTATGGTCAAATACATTTGGGGAATGCTGGGTCCCACAAAGCTAATTGGGTTTTCCTCCTGCAGGACTTTTCAGAGCCTTTATGACAATCCCCATCGGAGCTGCAACAGGGTGATGGAGCAGAAGCATTCCCTATTTACTCTCTTTTTTGATCTGCTTCTTGAGATTTCTATGAGCTGAAACTCAAGCTCCCCTGGGTTACATAAGTTCCAGCTCTGCCATGACAGGGCACCCAGTATATATCTACACCTCAGGGCCCAGGACCACCTGTCTTATCCTTAGGTGGGGACAGGGATCAGGGATTGCACTGCCCAAACAGCCTGAGGGTCCTCTGAGTCTCTTTCCCACCTGGGTCACCCACCTCTACAAAACAAACACAAAAACTCACCTTTTTCAGGGGCTCTCTGACAGGTGATGGGTACACAGTGAGTGCTCAAAAATGCAATTCAGAAAAACAAGGGCTAGGGGACTCAGCTTCTTTGAAACAGATGCTACAGGCTTTGGAGAGTGTGCTCAGGGAGTTGATGGCACCCCCAAGGAGACCACCAAGCTGCAAAGCCACACCTCCCTTTTCTGTCTATGGCAGGGTGGGTCCTGGGGTTTTCTGTGTCCGGGGAAGGTGTGGGGTTCACATGCTACCTTGTCCATCCCGCAGTCCCGGCTCCTCACCAACACATGTCCTTGTGTCCGGTGTGGTGGTGAAGCCATCATAACACAGGCAGTGGTGTCCCCCAGGCACGTTGGTGCACTGGCCCTGGCCACAGATGCTCGGGTTCTCTTCACACTCGTTCACGTCTGGGGATGCAAGAGTAGGGGATGGGCTTCAGGTGGGCAGATCCCATGGGTCTTTCCCAGACCTTCAGCAGCCCACTAACCAGGTGAGGGATGCTCTGGGTCTGGCTGGCCCTGCCTGGACTGGGCCGTGCAGGGCTCTGGGCTACATTGGGACCCAACCGACACCTGTCACCCCGCATCCTCGGTAGAGGGAAAGGCCACGGTCACCCACCTGCACAGGCCCTCCCATCAGGCATCAGCGAGTAGCCCTGACTGCAGCTGCACCTGAAGCTGCCCTCAGTGTTCACACAGTATATGTCACAGCCACCATTCTGCACTTGGCACTCATTGATGTCTGCAGGATGCGAGGCAGAAGAGGAGGGGCTGAGCGGTGGGACAGGGTTGGGCACCGAGCCAGGGCTGACTCAGGGACAGGAGTGGGGTCTGAAGGTGGGGTGGGTAGGGACTGAGTTGCAGACAGGGCTGCAAGTGAGGACTAGGACTGGTGCAGTCTCACCCATGCAGCCCTGGCGGTCAGGTGTGCCCTGGAACCCTGTGTGGCAGGAGCACCGGAAGGCACCAATCACATTGACGCACTGGCCATGGGGACACAGGCCGTCACTCAGGGCACACTCGTCAACATCTGTAAGAGAACACACACATAGCTGGTGCGGGGGTCCCTGGTGAAGGTCTCCACCCATCTGCCATCTTCACGACCATGCAACACACTCAGGCACACATGCATACAAATGAGCTCACACTGCCTGCATCAACTCAGTCCACTCGCAAACACACCCTTGCACGGTGCACATGGGGACACACATACCATTGGTAGACACACAATCCACACCCAGATACACACTCACACTGACATTGTTGGTGCACAATGAGAGTCACCAACACACCTCACGCTCACAGTCGCCCTTGTGCAACATGCATCCAGTGTATACTCACACCCACACTTACACGTATGTGCACACTCACAAATACAAACGCACCAACACATCTCCCTCACACAAACACGCATCTCTGCCCAAACACACACTCGCATCCTCTTGCACACCGACTGACACACACAGAAGTACCCACTCACAGCATTCACACCCAAGTACATGCTCACACATATGTACACAAATTCACACCTGCTCACATGCAAACTCACCCTCGTGCAGACACACATGCACACAGACCCACAAACACTCACCTCTGTACACACGTGGGAAACACATCACACGTCACGGACATACTCCTCAACTCACTTCCGTACACACATGCCACTCACACACACAGATTCACACTGACACACAAAACACCTTCCACACTTGTTTTTCCAATTCACACCCACACATACACAAATGCACACTCCCTCCATCTTGCGCATGCAAGCACTCACCCATAGACACAACACACACCCCCAGAGATACACAGATACTCCCGTCCGCCATCTCAGTCATACAACAGGGAGGCACTCACACTAATTTGTGACTAACACCGCACACACCTGGTTGCATGCTCACCCTCACAGGTAGTGCCCTGGGCTGTTAGCTCATGTCCAGAGGGACACTGGCACTTGTAGCTCCCCTCTGTGTTGGTACAGGTACCTCCCCGGCAGAGCAGTGGGTCCCTCACACACTCATCCACGTCTGGACATATGGAAAGACAGAGCAGGTTGAATGCTGACAGAGGACAGTTATGTGGCTCCTGGAAGCTTCTCTCTGCTGCCTCCCACCCATCCCCCCACTGAAGCCAACACAGCCTGAGGTTCAGGGCTTTGTTGATGCAGTGGAGGCTGAGCTGGAAGAAGCAGGGACAGGTCAGAGAGGGAGAGGGGCTGGGAAGTTGACACTTCTGGAGTCACTACGGGAAGCTGGAAGAGCCTCCCCTTCCCTTCAGGACACACTGGGAAGGTGAGGCACAGCAGCTCTGCCAGGAATCCCAGAGGGGAGCCTCATCACCCTCCTCACTTTCTAGCCACTCGTCTCCTCTACCTCTCAGGCCTGCCCCAGGACCTTGGCATATGTTTTCCCCTCCTCTAGCTCTTCTCACAGCATGACCAGCCACCTTCAGACCCACCTCAGGGCCTTTGCACGCGCGCGCTGTTCTTTCTCCAGGCCATTCTTCAGCCTCTCCTTGCCCTATCTGCTCCACTCTTCTCAGCCACCACCACAAACCCCACAGAATGGGTACATTCTCCCAGATCCATATTCCTATTGGACCATGTGGCAAGTTTGTATTCCTTTGGAAATTTATTTTATTAACATATGTTTTTCCATGAGGCCATAAGCTCCAAAAAAATAATGCTTAAGCTCCCTCTAGATCCATATGCAATGTTCATTGAATGAACAAAAAACAGAAGCCAGAACACAGGCTTTTTTTTTTTTTTTTTGGTGGAACTGGGGTTTGAACTCAGGGCTTTGTGCATGCTAGTCAGGGGCTCTACCACTTGATTCATGCCTCCAGTGCTCCCCATCTTTTTTTTCTTTTTTTTTTTTTGAGGCAGGGTCTCACGACATAGCCCAGGCTGCCCTGCAACTTGAGATTCTCCTGGCTCCACCTCCAGAGTGCTGGAATTACAGGTGTGTACCACCACACCTAACCCAGAGTTTTCTTAGAAGGAAGCATTTTCCTGGCTTCTCTGCAGTGCTCTGTCCTCTGCTTACACCACGTGGTCCCTGGGAGACCCCAGTGTGCTGGCCGCTCGCGGATCTCAGTTCCCAGGCCTCTGCCCTAATGATGGGGCCCAGAGGAACTCAGATGCACCAGGTAAAAGGCAGCTACTCCCCTTGCTGCCTTCACCCACATCTGCACAGACTTGTCCCTGCCAGCCAGGACTCTCTGGACATCCGGGGCTCCCTCACGCCCTCATCCTGCAGCCACTCACTCACCCATGCAGGTTTTCGCCAGCATGATGCTACTCTTGTAGCCAGGGAAACACTCGCATTCAAAGCTACCCAGGGTGTTGACACAGGCGCCCTGGCCGCAGAGGTCAGGGGAGATGTGACACTCGTCAATGTCTGTGGGAAGGGAGGACATGCGCTGGGGTCCATGAGTGTAGCATGAGAGGCCCAGGGTGAAGGATCTCTGTGTGCAAACATGAGAGGACACAGGCCAAGAGGCTTCCCTGCTTCAGACAGGAGGGGATATGGAGTGGGGTCCCTGTAGACACAAGGGGCTGATTACACGGGAGCTCCAAGATGGAGAACTGAGCTGGGAAGGAGAAATTCCCTGACTGAATACAGGACAAGGACAGGAAACTCCTCATAGTCTTGGAAGTCCCTTTGCTAGTCCCTCCATAGAGACAACAGAGATCACTGCAGCCCAGAGAGGGTGATGATCCACCCTAGGTCACACAGCACACAGGTGCCTAAAGAATGGGCCTTGCCTCCATGTCTGATTCAAGCCCCCTGTCCTTGCATGCATGATCCAGTCTCCAAGAGACACAGGTGGGTACCCACCTGTGCAGTTCCTCTCCTGGGGATCCAGGACAAAGCCCTTGGGACAGGAACAGTGGAAGCTGCCCACAGTATTACGGCAGGTGCCATAGGTGCAGAGCCCAGGGAACGCTTTGCATTCATTCACATCTGGAGCATAGGGGCATAAAACACCATCAGACAAAGTACCCTGATGTCCCAAAGTGTGGGACCCATAGACTTGGCCCTGCCTGGGCTCTTGCTTCCTGACAGCTCTCCATCCCCATTCTCCAAACAGACATCCCACCTTCCAGGCCTGGACTCATGCTGGTCCTTCCCAGTCCCCCAGGACCCACTCCTTCCCGCTCCCCTTCCCCAGCCAAACCTTTATAGAAGGGCCGGCCAGACAGGAAGTCCTGGCTGGCAAAGCCCAGCCCGCGGGGACAGAGGCTGGCAAACTCCGGGGAGTCAGGCTCTGGGCAAGCCTTGCACTCAGCTCCCCACGAGACCCCGATGGAGCAGCAGCAAACGTCCATCCGGTACTTGCCAGGCAGGGGGACCCCACAGTAGTCCTCGTCAAACTGCAGGAAACACAGCTCCAGCCTCACGTCTGCACAGAGGAACGGTCCATTGGGTTGGTCCCTGTCACACTGTGGCAGGCTTGTCACTCAGTACCACTCGCCTGAGACTGTCCCCAACACAGTCAGACGGACAGGAAGAGCCAGAAGGTGTGACTTCCAAATGCTGAATCCGATGTCACCCCACAGTAGCACGCAAGAGTAATCAAAATCCACACTGCGTAGGTGCTCTATAACACTACTGGGCACTGTTCTGAACACTTTAATCCATTCACTCCTCAAAATGATACTCAGAAGTCAGGCACTGGTGGCTCACACCTGCAATCCTAACTATTCAGGAGGCAGAGATCAGGAAGATTGTGATTCAAAGCCAGCCCCAGGCAAAATACTTGCCAAGTCCCTAGCTCAAAAAAAAAAAAAAAAAAAAGCCCATTTGCAAATGAGCCTCAGGAAGGGACAGTTCAACTGATGAAGAGAATGAATCACAAAACCAAACGTGTTCTGAGAGAGGTCAGGAGAAGGCAGGCAGGGGGTAGAGGGTCCTGGAGGTCCCCCTACATCTCTCCTAATGCTAGGAGGAGTCTCCATTCGCTGTGGATGGAAAGAATGAAGAAAGGACAGGTGGTCCCACCTAGAGACCTCACCTGCCAGACTCACCAACACACAGCCGGCCTGAGGTGTCCAGTGTCAGGCCCTGGGGACACTCACAGTGAAAGGAGCCTTTAGTGTTAATGCAGCCACCATTCAGACAGACCCCAGGGAAGGACTCACATTCGTTCACATCTGGGCAGTGGGAGATAAGGAGAAGGGAAGGTTGGAGGTTCCCAAGGGTGGGAGGGCATAGCTGGCCATTCTCCCTGTGGTCTCCAAGTTCAAGCTGTCATTATAGAGAAAGGAGGGAGACCTGGGCAAGGGTGCTGAGGGACCTCAGGAAGTCTTGGGTACTAGGGAGGGGGTATTTCTGTCTCAACCTCAGACTCCAGGGAGGGGCTCCAGGTGGCGCTTCCGTATGTGCCACGCCAAAGCCAAAGTGGGTTTCTGGGGGAGGTGGAGAACCAGAGAGATGGGGATAGTGATTTACCTTCACAGGTGAGACCCTTCATTCGGGCAAAGCCACGTGAACAGGTGGGGTCTGTGGTTGGGAGAACAGGGATGGAGAGAGGAGTCACCCTCTCCAGTCAGTCCTGGGGACCCACACCACCCAGCGCTACCAATGGGCCAGGGCGCGGGCACAGGGCTGTGCCTGGGAGGCCTTGCAGAGAGTGGTACCGATCTCGCAGCGCTCGCAGGGGCTCCCCCAGGCAGCCCCGAGGGTGGCACAGCATTCGGACCGCAGAGTTGCTCCCTGTAGGTTCACCTCACAATGGCCATCCTGGATCTGCAGCCAGCAGGTGCCTTTGGTACTATCTGGAGAGAAGGGGAGGAATCACCTGTTGGCTCGTGCCTGCGTCCCAACCTACAGATGCCCAGGCCTGCCAACGCCTCTCACCTACACACATGGTCCCAGAGGGTCCCAGCCGGCTGCCAGGGGCACATTCACAGGCATAGGAGCCCGCCAGGTTCCGGCACACACCATTCACGCACGGGCTGGAGGAGCACTCGTCGATGTCTGTGGGGACAGCCACTTGCTGAGTGCCGAGCTGAGGGAGGGCAAGGTCCACCTGACCAGGGCCTTCTCCTCCCCTGGGGGCTGCTGCACTGAGGTGCATGCGCCAGCAAACCGAGGGTGTGGGAACAGAACGTCGTGCAAGCAAGTGTGGTCACCAGCCATGCGCGCACACGTGCATTGTAAGAGACAGGAAACACCTAACATTTTTACCACACTCATCCTCAACACAGCATAGAACATGTCAGTGACCAGACATGGGTTTTGTCACACACTGACCTTTTCTCCAGCACCAGCTAAATGCTCTTTAGTTTAATTAAAGTTCCATGAAACAAACTAAGGACTCAATCCCATCAAATTGACCACTACTCCCAATGCCAATACAGACTGGGAACTTCCAGAGCTTCTGACTGACTAGCCATAAATTGGGGACTCCCCAATCTCCTTCATCATTTGTTAGAGCAGCTCACAGAACTCAGGGAAGTGCTTGACTTGGGTATTAACTGTTATGTCAAAGGTTCTTGCAAAGGGTGCACATGAACAGCCAGCTAAAGGAGAGGCAGAGGGTGATGTACAAGATAAGGGGTCTGTGGGTTCAGCTACCTGGAAGCTCCCAAGGGTTTTTATCAGATGTCATCTGATGTGACATCTGACATAATTGATCTGACATGATCAATTATTAGCTCTATTTCCAGCCTCTCTCTCATCCCGAGAGGTTGAACCAGGAAGCTTCAAGCTTCTAAACATGGCTTGGGCTTTCTGATGTGACCAGCCCCAATCCAGAAGCCCAGCTTCATCAGAACAAAGGATGGCTCTGTCACCCAGGAAATCCCAAAGGATTAAGAACTGTGGAACCAGTTTAATCCAGGAACCAGGATTAAAAACCTAATGTTCAGATTACAAGAACATTGGGGGCTCACTGCCAGGGACTAGAGGTGAAGACCAAATGTATATTTCCAATCACAATTTCAGCTGGGCCAGTGGCTCATGCCTGTAATCCTAGCTACTCAGGAGGCAAAGATCAGAAGGATCAAGGCTGGAAGCCAGCTAGGCAAATAGTTCTAGACACCTTATCTCAAAAAACAGGGGTGGGGGAAGCTGGTGGGTGGCTCAAGTGGTAGAGCACCACCTGCCTCACAAGCATGAAGCCCTGAGTTCAAAACCCCAGTACTACCAATAAATAAATAAACAAATAAATCACAATGTCACAGCACCCATATATAAATGCTGATGTGCAGGAACCCAGGTGCGTGCTTGGTGTGGTGCAGTGACTTTCAGGGAAGTTGTGGCGTGAGACAGGACTAGTGTGACACAGAGGTGGAAACACAGAAAGGACAGAGGTCAGGGTGTAGCGAGGGTCAGCTCTGGAAGCAAGGAAAAGGCAGTTGATGTGTGTGTGTGTGTGTGTGTGTGTGTGTATGTGAAGCCACATGTACCATGCATGTGCCGTTTGCGTCTGACCACATATGTCTGTGTGCACGCCATATGCATACCTGAGTACATGTGCATGCACATATATACATCCCTCCTTGAGCACGTGTGTGCCTGCATGTATGTCTCATGGTGTGTGTGCAGCAGCACGAAGCACACTCGATACTCCACCTTCGCAGGTCTCTGTGTCTTGGCGGAAGCTGAAACCCTGTGGGCAGGAGCAGCTGTAGCTGCCAGGGCTGTTTCGGCATCGCCCGCTGTCACACAGGAGGCTGTTGAGGGCGCACTCATCCACATCTGCAGGAGGGGTGGGGGGTGGCGGGGTGAGGGGCCTGCTGTGGAGGCAGCCCACCCTCCCACCCACCTGCTGGCACGCTCACCTATGCAGTCCTTGCCTGAGGCGCCTGCCTCATAACCCAGGTTGCAGATGCAGCGGTAGCTGCCCCGAAGGTTCTCACACATGCCATGGGTGCAGACCTCAGGGTCCAGGGCACACTCATTGATGTCTGCAGCAGGAGAAGAGGGATAGCAGCTGCTCTGGCTCTCTGGGGGTCTCCAGAAGCCAATCCACCCCCCAGTCAAACCTCCAGCCCACACTTTGCCTCATTTCTCTCTTGGTACTGGGGACATTCAGGGCTGGCCTGTTCTTTGCTGTGGGTGGCTATCCTGGGCTTCACATAGTGTGTTAAGCCACATCACCAACTTCTACCTACAGGTGCCACTAGTGACCTCCCCCATATTTCTCCAGACATTGCCAAATATTCCCAGGGAGTGAAGAATTGTCCCCAGTTTGAAACCCGCACAGCAGACATTTGTACAACAGCCCTGTAATGTAAATACGGCCCATTTCTGCACCTGTGGATCCAACCAAACGAGGACAGAAAACATTGTAGGAAGAAAAAAAAAAACTGTGTACTGAACACATACAGATTCCCTGCCCCCATCATTATTCTCTGAACAGTATAGTATAACAATTATACGTATATCAATTACATTGTACTAAGTATTAAAAGTCAAGTAGGGGAGCAGGGCACTGGTGGCTCACGCCTGTAATCCTAGCTACTCAGGAAGCAGAGATCAGGAGGATTGTGGCTCAAAGTCAGCCTGGGCAAATAGTTCAAGAGACCCTATCTCAAAAATACCCAACACAAAACAGAGATGATAGTGTGGTTCAAGTGGTAAAGTGCCTGCCTAGCAAGCATAAGTCCCTGAGTTAAAAGCCCAGTACCACACACACACACATACACAATGTTAGAGAGAGATGACTGAGAAGATCTGAGAGGCTTCTATTAATGCATAGAACCTATGATGCATAGGTTCTATTCAAATACTGTGTCATTTTATGGATTTGGGTATTTGCAGGGGTCCCCGGCACCAGCCTCCCATAGACACCCAGGGATGACTGTAAAAGCAATTATGATCACTGATCATACAGGGTGCTCACTATTTTGTGCTAAGCACTATTCTACATGCCCTGAGTACATTAACTCACGGGTGTGCACATCCTCTCTGAAGTGGATCCTAGTTTCACCCCCACTTTATAAAGAGTCAGAGGCAGAGAGAGGGTATGTAACTTGCCCAAGGTTCTTCAGTCAGCAAATTGTAAGGCTGGGATTTGAACCTGGACAATCTGGTTCTAGAATGGGAGTTGGAGGGAAGACAGTCAAGGCCTATGGTCTGCCCCAGTGGCCCAGGAGTTAGTAGAAAAATTCAAATGTAGGCAGGGCACAGAGGTTCATGCCTGTAGTCACAGCTACTACATGAGGCTCTGCCAGAAGAAGAAGGAGCGGGACAAAGAGGAGGAGGAGAAGGGGATGGAGAAGGAAAGAGAGAGGGAAGGAAGGAAAGAAGGGAGGAGAGGAGGAGGAAAGAAAAAGAGAAAAGAAAAGGACCAGCCTTTCGAACACCTTGATCTTGGACATCTGGTCTCCAGGATCATGAGAGAGTAAGTGTCTGCTGAAGTGAGGAAATCAGTGATATTTTGTTCCTGCAGCCCTAGCAATGAGTGCAGCTCCCAGATGCGTCCTGGCTACACCAGGCAGACACTGCTGGCCCCAATATGAAAGGGCCAATCCACTTACCTCGCCCATCTGTGGTGATGCCAAGTCCACTGCTACAGAGGGCCTGGAATTCGGCTGTGGGGGAAGAGCCCAGCAAAGAGGGGTCATGGAGGTTTGTCATTGTGAAAAGTGAACCATGACCTTGACCATGACTCCTTAGTCTTGGGCAAGAGTCTAGTGCTAAGATGTACTCCTCTACCTCCCCAGACAGAGAGTAACTTCCTTCAGTCTCTTCTTGGAGTGAGCCCCCAGTGATAAGAAATCTCTCCACTCCATGAGAGCCCAGACTTAGGCTACCTGCTACCCCAAGAAGGATGGACAAATGAAGACTCTCACCAGAGTTCTTGGCAGGACAAAGCTGGCAGGGTTCCCCAAACCCATGGTCCGGGTTGGCACAGCAGCATTCAGATTTGGTGACAGTGCCAGGGAAGGGGCGGGTGCAGGAGCCCTGCTCCACAATCCCATAGCACGTGCTGTGCATGTGGGTGTCCACACACACGTGGCCATCTGCACCCACCGCCAGCCCCCCCAGGCACTGGCAGCGGAAGGAGCCCTCAGTGTTGGTGCAGTGGCCATTCATGCAGATGCCTGGTGTCTGGCACTCATCAATGTCTGGGGTGAATGAGATCCACCATGTCCCATTCCACTCCCCTCCCTCACCTATCCATCTTCACAGACCTTCTCCTTTCCTTGTTCAGCTCCTTGCCTCTTCCTCCTTTTCCTTGTCTTCCTTCTCTCCTTCTTTATCCTCCTCCCCTCTTCCCTCATGTCCTCCCTATCCTTTCTCCCTTCCCATCTCTTCCTCTCTTCCTTTCTTCATGCCTTCCCTTTTCTCCTCCTCCATGTCCCTTTTCTCTCTTCACCTTTTTCCTTCTCCCCCATTCCTTCCTCTCTTCTCCCATCTCTCCCTTTCTTCTCATTTCATTCCTCCCCCTCTTTTCCCCATCCCTCCCCTCTTCTTTCCTCTTCCCCATCACCCTCTGAAGTTCCAGGTCCAGCCTCCAGCCTCACCCACACAGTAGTGGCCACCAGGAGCCAGCAGGAAGCCAGGCTTGCAGAGACACGTGAAGCTACCATCCTCATTGATACACATACCATTCAGGCACATGGTGCTGACGGCACATTCGTTGTGGTCTGGGGACAGCGAGAGAGGCTGGGTCTGGGCAGGGAGGCCAGCCCTACCATGCTCACCAGCCCTTCTCTCTTACTTCTCCAAGATGCAAGGCTAGCCCCTTGAAGGACCCTCCCTGGGCGTGGTTGGTTGTGACTAACTTTGCCTATACAGCTGTTCCTCAGTATCTGTGGGGGACTGGTTCCAGGCCCCCTCAGATGAGAAAACCCACGAATGCTCAGGTCCCTTATGTGCAATGGTGTCATTTGCACAGAACCTATGCACATCCTCCCACAGACTAAATCAATTCCAGATGACCAACACTATCTGATGCAATGCCAGGAGCAGTGGCTCACACTTGTAATCCTAGCTACTCGAGAGGTGGAGATCAAGAGGATCATGGTTAGAGCCCAGCAAAATTTTTGCAAGACTCCACGTCAACAGAAAAAAAGCTGGGCATGGTGGCACACTCCTGCCATTCCAGCAACAGCAAGAAGCATAAAATAAAAGGATCATGGCCCAGTCTGACATGGGCAAAAAGTCAGACCCTGTCTCCAAAATAATCAAAGTAAAAAAGGCTGGGAGTGTGGCTCCAGTGACAGAGTACCTGCCTAGTAAAGTTGAGGCCCTGAGTTCAAACTCCCGTACCATCAAAAAAAAAAAAAAAAAGACAAATTTCTCCCTGTAAAGGACTTTAAGGCAGATCTCTTCGAGGAAGGTGACAAGAGAGAGTGCAAGGTGTCGCAGACCCGGGATCCCTGCCCCATCTAGATACCCTACAGGGAGAGGGGGGGTTTGTGCTCTCCAAGTTCCTGACCCTACCTCTCTGGGGCCAGGCTGTTCTGGGCTGTCCTGGACATGGAAAGGACCCTAATTCAGGAGGAGAGTCCTGACCAAAATGCCCCCCTTGGCAAATCACAGAATGAATTCTGAAGGAAGGAAGGAGTGTGTGAAGGCAGAAAGGGGACAAGAAGGGTTTCAAGTGCTTTGTGGGTTCAGAGATGTGAGCAGAAGAGACAGAGAAGGGACACATGTAGGTGACGGAGCAGGCACGAAGATTCAAGGTGGCTAGAAAAGGCAGCTAGAGGGGTCAGAAGCCCCCTGCCTATCCACTCAGCCTCAACTCACCCACACAGCTCCTGCCATCAGGGCTGAGCTCGAAGCCTGCATTGCACACACACTGGAAACTCCCCTCCGTGTTGACACAGCGGCCCAGGTGGCAAAGGCCACCTCGGCTGATGCACTCATCCACATCTGGTGAGAGGAAGGCAGGCAAGCAGTCAGGAGGCACCCTCTACCCTGGCCAGGCTCCCCCACTGTCACCCCAACTCTTGAGTGGATAGATGGGTGGACAGTCATACCCACACACTCTGTTTGGTGAGCGTGGCCTGGAAGCCCTGGTGGCACCAGCAGTGGTAGGAGCCAGGGATATTGACACAGTCACCGTGGCGACAGGGGCTGCTGGTGCATTCATCCACATCTGCAGGCAGAGGACCCTGAGCTCTGGCCCAGCAGGGCGTGCCCACCCCTCCCCACCCTGCTCCGGCTCACCGATACACTCGCCCCGCACATCCTGGGTGTAGCCCAAGTTGCATTCACAGCGATAGCTAGAGGGAGTGGGCAGACAGCGGCCATTGAGACACAGGTTGGTGAAGTGGCGGCAGATGTCGATAGTCTGATTCAGAGTGGCTGTGCCTGCAGGCAAGACCAGTGGGAACCTGAACACTTGCAGCCCCCCACCCCTACCCTCACCCCAAGCCAGAGCCTGGGCTTTGTTTCTAAGTCCTGACATCAGCTCAGGCTCCATCCTCTGTCCTGGGTTTTCTATTCAGACCTCTATCCCAGATCTGGACCCCACCCTGAGCCCAGATATTTACTGTGGGGTAAAACCCCCAACCCAGTGCCCCCACTTCAAGCTAGAAGACACTCAGACTTTTACTCTAGGGTTCAAGGCCCTGACTTTGAGGGCAGGATCGCCAATCAATTCTCACTCCCAGACCACTGTCAATACAATCGTCCCCTGGTATCTTCAGGGAATGGTTCCGAGACCTCCCTCCCTCCGATGCCAAAATTTCTGGATGCTGAAATTCCTTACATAAAATGACATCATGTTTGCATCTATTTCTCTAGATGATTTATAATACCTGACACAGTATAAATGCTAAGTACGTAGTCGTTACATTGTATTGTCATGGAATAATGAGAAGAAAAAAAATCTGTACATGTTCAGTATAGACAAACTCACTCTCTGACTGTCTGTCTCTCTCTCTCTCTGGTGGTACTGGGGTTTGAACTCAGGGCCTCACACTTGTTACGTCATACCTGCAGTCCTTTTTGCTTTAGTTCTTTTTCAGATAGGGCCTCACACTTTTTACCTAGGGCCAACCCAGGACCTCATTCCTCCTACCTATGCCTCCTGAGTAACTGGGATTACAGGCATGCACCACCATACCCACCAACACAAATGTTTCCCTGAATATTTTCTATCCAAGGATAGTTGAGTCTAAGGATGTGCCACCTGCAGATATAGAGAGCCAGTTATACTTTCATCTCGGATGTCCAGGCTGGGATTGTCAATCCAAAGCACTGACCCTCACAGACAGAACTCCTCCCTTTGTCCAGGGCCCTCTCTCCAGACCCAGGCCCACCCATGGTCTTGGAACTGTATTCCTGAGTCCTAGGCCTCACCAATGTTGGAGGTGCCAGGGCCCAGGCTGGGGACCCCAGGCCCATGGGAAGCATGTGGGCTTGTTGTGCTGGTCCCACGGATCCCATACCATTGGATCCAAAGCCTGGGAGGCCGGGGAAGAGACGAGGGTAGGAGGGCAGTAGCGGGAGCCCCCGGGCACACAGTCGCTGGGATTCATCTGCAAGGAATGGGGTTTGAGACCAAGCCCTCCATCCTACCCAAGGTCCCGACCTGTAAGCTAGGACTGTCACTCACCAGAGCCCCGCAGAGGACACAGCTCTGGGACTGGGATAGTCGCCCAGCACCTGCCCTTGTCACAGCAGCACTGCCTGCGAGTGTAGTGACCAGGAAGGTCTCCACCACAGTGGCCCCCGATTAGTGCTGAGAAGCAGGTGCCTACCCGGCGGTCTGCAACAGGACAGAGGGTGGGGCCCAGAAGCATAGAGCAGGGAGTTGGGGGAGGGGGTTCATTAGTCACCAGACCTGGATTCAAACCCCATCTGCACTCACACTGTCCATAGAATGGGTCTCCCTGCCTCTCTGTGCCTTAGTTTCCCCATCCATAAAATAAGAATGGGCAGGTGTTGCTGGGATGAAAATTGTGGCATGTGATCCACTCTCACTCGGTGCGAACTCTTATGCCCAAACTTTCCAAATGATTCCAGGGAGAAAGATTTGGGCTTATTCCAGACAAGGGGTTCCAACACTCAAAGCAGTGGCCAGCAGTGAGCTGCCTGTGAATGAAGGTTTTCAAACACACTAGCGAGGAGATGGCTGCCCAGTGGAAAGTCAAGCAAGGACATCGAATCAAGTAGTCTCCACCACTGGATGCCATAATGGACTGCATGTGTGTGTGTCGGGGGTGGGGGTGGGGGGGTGGGTAACGTCTGGGCATGTCCTCTCAGTCTTCCTGGATGTTCCTCCACCTTCTCAACAGCAGAGCCTGCGTTTCAGTCAAGTCTGGTTGCCTCTGAACATGAACTTTGGGTTCAGTCCTAGGTTCTGACTGTCAGCTGAACTGCTCCCAGACTCTGTGAGCTTGGGCAACTGAGTTAACTTCTCTGTGCCTCACTTTCTCCATCTGTAAAGTGGGGATAATAGCAATACTGACCCGAAAGAATTATCATGAGGATTAAGTAAGGTGGAATTTGTGGAGTGATTTGTATAGACTACTGGTAAACAGTGGGCACTCAGTACACAGTCATGGAAATGCAGAGAACCTCGGGAAGTTGGGACAGAGCCACTTAGCAGAGCTTGAGTTTGCCTGAGTGCACTCAGGCTTGTTGGCCTATGAGGTTGTGAACTTGAGAAGAATTCCCAAGGATCAGTGGGATGGACTGACAGTCATAGCCCCTAGGGAGCCTGAGCCAGAGACTCCATAGGTACGAGAACCAAAGACACACATCTGCTTCCCACTGGACCCTCAAATCCTATGGCTACACGCAGTGATCACATTTCTCAGGCTTTCACTCCAAGTGCATATTTTTAGGTTGAAAACTCTACAAATCTTGGCTGGTGGCCTATAGTTGAGAAACCCCTCCCACCAGCTGCAAGGACTGCTGGCAGCTGCCCCTGACCTGCCCCAAGCCAGGAAACACGCAAATGTTTCCACCCCTCTGGTTCCACCCTGTATACCTGGAGGCTCCCCAGGTGCAAATGTGGGCGTTGGGGCTCTGCACTCAGCATCATCATAGCCCCTCAAAGAGGGCTTGGCCTGTCCAGACCAGGAGAGGTCAAGAGAGTCCTTCAAGGTCAGCCAGCTGCTAAATCTGGGGCAGGATGAGAAACTAGATTCCTCATCCCCAGGGGATCTGACAAGCAGCTGCCTCTCCAACAGGGAAGAAAGAGACCGAATCTAAGAATTTTAATAGAAATGACAGCTGCCGGTGCTTTAAGCAGCCACCATGACCAGGTCCTGCTAAGTGGCCCTGCCTCAACTTCCCCAAGGTCCTCCAAGTCTCAATGAATGTGTATTGAATGGTCCCTGTGTAGCAGTCATCTGCAAATCTCTCCCCAAATTTTTATTTAAACCTCAGGACTATTCCTGAAGGTCAGTACTGCTAATACCCCATTTTACAGATGGGGATACTGAGGCACAGAGGAGTTAAGTCAGTTGCCTAAGGTTACAGTCTGAGAGCAGCTCAGCTGATGGCTGGAGCACAGGATTGAATGCAAAGCCTGTGTTCAGAGGGAACCAGACTGGCTGAAATGCAGGCTCTGCTACTGAGAAGGTCCCAGGCAATCTAAGGGGCATGTCCAGAAGTACGCACACCCCGCTTCCCACACCCCCCCCCCCCCCCACCCCCGCCATGCCAGCTCTGATAATGCACAGAAGTGGAGACCTAAAAACTGTGGAACTGGCCGCAGTGGACTGGCCAAACTCCAAACACAATATTCTCAGCCCTGCCTGGTACAGGCACAGCCTGAGGGGCCTGGGGGTGATGCTGGGAAACCTGCCAGGTCCCTTCCCTCTCCCCAAACGGTACTCTGCACATCCACCCACACCAGAATCCATAATTGTGGCCAGACTATGGGCCCCAGGCAACTTGTAGGATCTAATGACTGTAGGATTTGGATAAAGGGGTGGGACAAGCCCTTCTCCTGCCCTAATCAGGCCAAGTGTGGGTGTTTGCACAAGGGTGGGTATGGAGGGGCACAGTCAGAGGTCCCCTACCCTGGCTGCCATCTGGGGAACTAGGTGTGGGCATTTCTGTGTTCTAGACTTGTAGAGTTCACTCAAGCAAACCTTTCTGAGCCTCAGTTTCCCAATCTGAAAAATGGAGTGGGGGAGGGAAAATGAGATGCTGTGGTAAAAGAGGAATAGAGACATAGGGCAGAAAGGCATAGAGATGGAGGCTAGAGGGTCAGTGGGGGCATGGAGACAGTTCTCATAGATACCTAGAGGATAAGAGGGAAACAAAGATCAAAGCTAGAGGGTCAGAAGGAAGACACAGACATAAAACCAGACCATCGTAAGATGAAAGCCATAAGTTACAGGGTCAGAAGGGGGCACAGAGATCAAGACCCCTTCCGGGTCAATGAGCCAGAACGGATAGATTCTGAGGGACAGAGAGGCATGGGGGTGGAGGGAAAGCTGCAACCAAGAACCTAAGCCAGGACACCAGAGCGCTAAATTAGAGCAACTAGGGGGGCCAAAAAAGGCCACCAGTCTGGAGTCCAGGACAGCACAGAGGCTCATGGGTTGAGAGCCAGATTGCCAGAGGACAGGAAACTGGAGTCCAGAAAGGCAGAAGGACATAGCGATTGGAGGGCTAGAGTGACCAGGGACCAGACTGTTGCAGAGATAGAGGAGGGGCCTGTCTCCTACCCGCCCTCTCCCCCTCCTGACCCCGTGTTTGCCTCACCCAGGCAATGGGCTCCATCCAGGCTGCTGGCAAAGCCTCGGGGACAGGTGCACACGTAGCTCCCAACTGTGTTGGTGCAGCCACCCCCGGAGCAGAGGCCGGGCACAGTGAGACACTCATCCACATCTGCGCAGACACACGGGGTCAAAGGCAGGCCCCTCACCAGTAGGACCCCCTCCACCTCCCTGTAGGACAGCCTGGGTGCCCGGATCAAGAGAAGGTCCCAGGTCATACTCCACCTTCACACGTAACACCACTGTCACTGAGCTGGTGTCCAGCTGGGCAGCGGCACTGGAAGGAACCCACTGTGTTGATACAGCTGCCACCCTGGCACAGGCCCAGGATGGCCTGGCACTCATCCACATCTACGAGATTGAAGTCGGGCAAGGGAGTGAGAGGGCAGTCAGAGGAAGGAACCAGGGCTGCTGGGGGCTCCTACTCAGCCCTGGGGCCTCTGTTCCCCCTTGCTGACCCCAGGACTCACCTTGGCAGGCTCCTGTGCGGATGCTAGGAATAAAGCCACGGCGGCAAGGGTGTGGTTGTGCAGGACAGGGCTCGCACAGGAGGCCCCAGGTGTGGCCCACAGTGGCACAACAGAGTGCCTTGGTGCACACGAGGCCTGTCAGCTGGCGCAGGCACCCCTCAGGGCCCACTTGGCTAAAGCAGGGTCCAGTCCGGTAGTCTGTGAGGCAGACAAATGTACGTAGCTCCCCTGTGTCTCTGTCACCTTCCCAGCTTCTCCACACTATCCCATCAGGCTTTTTCTTGACCACATTCTATCCTGCTTTCTGGATAGAATCTTTCTTTTCCTTCTCTATCTAACAAACTCCTATTCACCCTTCAAGACCCCTTTTCTCCAATGCATTCCCCAACTAACTCCAAGCGGGAAGCCAGGATCTTTAAGCTTACAAAGCGTAGGATGTGTTTGCTCACCCCCACCCTTCCTTCAAGCAGGAATCAAGGATGCCTGGCTGAAAAGCTCGTTTCATCACTGAGCACAAGTCCTGACACTGCCAAATCTCTGAGATTGTACAGGGACCCTCCCCCAGTCTGCCCAGATGCTCTGGACTCACCCACCACATCCCCGGGCCCACCCCAAGGTGGCTGCATGGGTTTTCCCAATCACTGTGCATGAGCCCATATGTCACTTCCTGTCTCCACCCTTCAGATGTTTCCAATAACAGGGCTGGCACTCCACCAAGGGCAGTCCCTCCCAGAAAAAGCCAAAGCCACCCTCCATCCCACCCTCTTTACAGAGGAGGGACTTTGGAGATCCCTGGTAGTCTCAACTTTCCAAGCTAAAATACCATTTCCAGAACCTGGGCACCCAGCCCCCTGGAGCCTTGGATGTCCACTGTGTGTCCTGGCCTCTCCTCTCCTGCCCCTTCCCATGGACCCTCACTCCCCATCACCTACCCTCAGCATGCCCCACCTTGCAGCCTACATTCCAAATCATTTTTCTTTCTTTTTTGTTTTGTGGCACTGGAGTTTGAACTCAAGGAGTAAAGCACTCTGCCATTTGAGCCACCTCTCCAGCCCTCCTTTTTCTTTTTTCCAAAAGTCCACTCTGGAACTTAGGTCACCCTCTAGCCACTCCACTTTCTGATTTGTGGCCCCAGTGGTCTTTGCCTTCTTGGGCTCCTCGGCTACACTGGGCACTCCCACGATTTCTGCATCAGAAAAATCTCACACCCAGGCATCCCTAAGCTGTCACTCCTGTTCTTTCTCCTTCTTAGCCTCCTACAGGCTCCATATTTTCTGTCTGCTCTGAAATGCCCAGGTCTCCTCTCTCCTCGCCCTCCATTCTCCTCCCAGGAGCCTCAGTCAATCCCCTGGCTTCAGTCCTCATGGATGGCACAGCCTTAGCAGCCTTCTCAGTCCCTGGCAGATCCAAAGTTCAAGGTCTTCCCCTTCATTCCCCCAATGCACCACCTTCTTCCCAATTGTCAGCTGGGTGTCAGCTTCATCCTCAACTCCATCCTCTTCTCGCTCCCCACACCCAAACTTTCCCACAACATCATTGCTTCCCCCAATGTAGTGTAGGTGATCCATTCACCTTGGCCCCCGGGGTTCTTTTTTAAGAGTCAGGGTTCCAGCTGGGGATATGTCTCAGTGGTAGAGCACTTGGCCTTGGATTCTATTCCCATTCCCCCCCAGCCCCCCAAAAAGAGTCAGGATTCAGTAAGAGGGGGAACTCATCCATCTCATGAACTCTACCTATCCTTCAAGATTCAGCTGTGGGGTCCCTTCCATCGGGAAGCACTCCTTAATCTACTTCCCTGGAGCTCATGGCTTCTACGTAATCCTGCACGCCCCGTCATTGTCATAGCGATGAAACCCCTGCATTACAGACTTCTGTTTGCAGGTTTCTTCCTCCTGCCCCTCAGAAGGAAGCACCTCTCTCCCGCCTCAGGTCTCACTCACAGTCAGTAAATAACAGATGTTTTGGAAAATGGATGAGCAAACGAGAAAGATGTCCTTAGACTGCCCCAGCAGCCAGAAAGAAGCCAGCTGGACCCTCTCAGTGCCCAGCCAAGTCTCTGTCACTGCCAGGAATCCCCTTCCCTCCTGCTAAATTCCCCCGGTACCTCTCTCACACTGAGGCCCCATGAATCCGTACACACATGCACAGCGGTTAGGCCCAATGCAACGTCCCCCATTGTGGCAGCCGCGATCACAGATGGCTGTGGGGGGACAGGAAAGGGTGATCAGAGGTCCCCCAATGACTGGAGTCCCAGCTTCACCAGGAATTCCCACCATGTGATAAGACTGTGACAATGACCATGTTCACTCCAATCTCTGGTCCCAGGTGAGGGACCTGGACTCAGTGGGCAGGTGGCCACAGAGGCCCATCCTCTGGGATTCCAAGCCAGGTGAGGGTGGTGGGCAGCCCTGAGGGTACTCACGCTGTCCACACACGGTGCCCGTGTAGCCCCTCTGGCATAGACAGGACTCCCCCCGGCAGCTGCCTCCGTTCATGCAGCTCACAGCACACCCCGACCCTAGGGACCAGGAGGGACAGGGTGAGGTGAAGAAGCCTAACGAAGGCAGCTGGACCAGGCAGGCCCAGCCTAGCTCTGGTCCTTCGACAAAACCAGTCTGAGCTCCTCATGGCATCCAGAAGCCTGGAACCTTCTTCTTCTGCCCCAAGGAGGCACTGTCCACTCACCTCGGCTTACCCCGCAGCTGGGGGCCAGTGTCCCATCCGCACAGGTGCACAGGTTGGGCTGGGAGCAAAAGCCCTCAGCACAGGCATTCCTGCAGACAGCTGGAAGAATGGCACACACAGCATCAAGGCCAAGATCCCAGCCTCACACATACCCACTTCTGTGGATGTCCTGGCCGACCAGGACACCAAGGAGGGAGCTGCTGGTCATTTTCAGCCTCAGCTTTGCTCACTGTGTGCACACACGCCCTGTTTACATGGGATGCTCCCCAAGGCTTGGGATGGACTGGACAATGGTATGATCCCAGTTGCAGCTCTGAGATTCTGCTAGACACGTCAGAAGAGATGCTCTGGGCCAGAAGAGCTGGGCTGTGGACAGAGGCTGGAGGCTGGGGATGTGGATGGAAGGGGGCTCTCCTGGAAATGGACTAAGAGACAGAGAGACTGGAGGTGGGGAGGAGGGGGTGAGGCTCAACAGAGACAGAGAGAATGCAAGACCCAGAGAAAGAGATAGAGAGACAAGGAGAGGGAGAGAAGGGAGAAGGGAGAGGAGAGAGTGCCAAACAGGAAAGATTGTAGGACAAAAGAAATGAGTGTGGCAGGGTACCCTGGGAGCCTGAGGCAAGGGCCATTCCTGCAGTTCATCCAGAGGCCCCCGGCCAAGTCCACTTATAACCAGAGCTTGGCTTTTTGGCAGGTAGCAGGTGGGATGGCTGCTGGATCATTTCCTCCCTGTGTCCCCCTTCTCCATAAGCCAACAGCACTCACGCACAACACATTGGTTCCCGCCGGGCAGCGTCCTCCAGCCGGGGCAGCAGAAGGCATAAAAGCGAGAGCCACACACATTTGGCCTTCAGAGAGAGTATGATATGGCTGGTGAGCTCCAGTCTGGCCATGTGTTCCCTCACCCCAGGACAGCCCTGCCCTACCTATACCCTAAGGATCTTTCAGCATCCTGGGAACTACACACCCATGCAAGATGACACCAGGGCTGCCTCGCCTCCGCACACGTCCAGGACCTGCAGCTTCCATGGCCCTGTCCCAGCGGCCTTGACTACCTGCTATGCACAACAGTGACACCCAGGCCAGCAAGAGCCAAGTCGGGGGTCCCCAGTCCATGATGAGGGCTCTGGCTTCTCCTTACTAAACACAGACTCTTGGCGTCACCCTTGGAGGCTGCAGAGAGGAAGCAGAGTCAGCTCCAAGCAAACCCCTGACCAAGGGGCACCCCAAAAAACCAGGAGCAGGGGCTGGGATAGGGCAACTCTGGAGGACCATAGACCAGGTGAACAGTCAGGGAGGGCTTCTTGGAAGAGGTGCAATGCTTTAGGATGAAGGCAGCCCAGAGAAGGGTCCTGGGGCAGAGGGTGTGCAGCAAAAGCAAGAAGCAAAGAGGTGTAGAGCAGGGAGGGAGAGAGGGTCACGCGGGGATGGTATTGTGGGAATGGGCAATGGCTGTGCAATAGAGCCTCTACTTGTTTGTCAAGGGCAATGAAGAGCCCTCGGAAGCTTTCGGGGGGTGGGGAGAAGCAAGGTGAACAATGGGTGTTACTTGGAGTAAGGCTGGCCTGTAGAGACCCCAGGAGAAGCTGGCAGGACAGAAGGCTGAGAGGTGTCCAGATCAGGGAGAGGGAGGATGAGGAATAACCAGGAGGTACAATCAACAAGAGTTGGCAGGTGATTGCATGGGAGGTGGGGAACTTTGAGTAGATGAATTCTGGCCAGGCAGACTGAAGGAGGAGGGAGGTAAAGATTGGGGGAGGTGGTAAAAGTCTACATATGTTCCATTGGGAGGTCATTCCTACACCAATAAGGAAGACTCTGTGTCCACTTCACAGATGGGCAAACTAAGACTACCAAACCATTGGTAAAGAGTTGAGCAAAAGGTGGGGAGGGAGAGGAAGAGAAAACACACACACACACACACACACACACACACACACACACACACGCAGTGGCTGGCTCTTTCCTTGGCCAGGAAGGAGTGGGGACACCTGATGTAGCACATGAGCACTCAAAAGTTTGGAGGATGGGAGCAAAATTTTCCAGGGACAGAAGCCACACCAGATGGCCTTTGAGGACCTTTTGGTACCACTTGCCAAATCAGACAGGAGAGAAGGCCTGATTTGGGAATGGGATGGGTCGTTCTCTGGGTCTTGGGGTTAAGTGAAAATCTGGCCAGGTGGTCCCAAACTCTTGTCAACTTTGGAGGATGGCCCAGGCTGGGGAGGTGAGTCCCTTCTTGCTTTACTGTAGACCTGGCAAAGCTGCGCTGTAAGGACACCTTCTCCAGGCAGCCTCTGGACCTGCGAGCCCTCCCTCCCACCCTATGCGGGGGAGGTCCTCCAGCCTGGCCTGACCAGACCGCACACACTCTCCCCTGCCTCCGAGAGCCAGGCCCCAGGGTTTGTCGAATGAATGAGTCGCAAAGGAGCGCGCGGCACGCACGGGAAGCTGGGGGCCCAGGGGAGCGAGGAGTTAAGGGTTTGGTGGACTGGAAGGGGGCGCCCCTGGAGTCTGCGGGCTGCGATCTCCACACGCCAGGAACGAGGATTCAGGAGCCCATGGGCCACCACCGTGCTTGACTACGCCCTCACCTGCAGCTCCCAAACCCGCTCCAGCGCCCGGGACCCTGGGCATCGGGTCCCCGCGCCCACTCGGACGCACAGCGGATGGCGGCGAGGGGAAGGGGCTGGGCCCGGGGCTGCCGGGCTGCAAACAAAGGAATCCCCTCCCCCTCCCCCGGCCGATTCTCCTCCACCCCCCACCCCCGCCCCCTCCGAGCTCTCCTCCCTCCCCCGCGCCTGGTGGTCGCCCCGCCGCCAGCCCCGCGCCTTTCCCTACCTGCCGGGCTGCGCGCGTGGGGGCGCGCGGGGAGTGGACGTGCGGGGCTCCGCGCTGCACGACCGGCTCCCGCAGTGCTGGGGGCTCGGGGCGGGAAGGCGAAATCGAGAGGCCGACCCCGCCGAGTTCCCAGCCCAGAGTTGGGGGCGGGAGGAGTTTGGGGGAGGGCGCGTTTGCACCTCGTAGCCTCCAATCTCGGGCGGGAGAGAGGCTGGAGCGAGGGAGGGCCTGGGGCTCCGGGTGAAAATGGGGGCTGGAGAGATGGAAAGGGGGCTGGGGGCGCCTAAAGTCGAGGCTCAGAAATGGGGGGTGCGTTTTCGGATAGCCTTGGAGCAGGAGGTGGCCCTCAGGTGGGGGCCCGAACAGGGGGCGTCTTGGACAACAGCCAGGGCGAGGAGGTTCCGGGACCTACCTGGGAGGCCCTCCACCTTCTCCGAAGCCGCCTCCCCCTCCCTCGGGCAAGGAGAATTCCAGGAGCAAAGTTGGAAAGTCACCTGGCACCTGGCTTCTGGATTCTTAACAAGACTGGGATCCGTAGGCCCCTAAAAATGTAGGCAAAACACGAAGCAAAGAAAGATGAGTTTCCTGGGGAGAAGTTCCACTTGTTTTTTTCTTCTGAGTGTCAGAGTGAAGACGGATCTAGACTTTCCCATCTCTCTGAGCCTCCTCTTTCCAAGAGTCCAGACGCCATCAGCTCAGCTCCCTGTCTGAAATATACATCCAAGGGACATTTTCTAAATTTCTCCACCACTTTCCCACCTTTGACACCACCACCCAGCGACCTTTAACATGGGGATCTGGCCGAAGCTGTTTATTGGGCCTGAAGTTGTTACTCTACCCAGCAAACTCTCATGTATCTGGATACCTCCAAATTGTTAGTGTACCCTACAGTCGCCAAAGCTGATTGTGCTCAATGTGCTTCCACCATAGTACCTCTGGAATGTAATAAAGACATAAATAGCTCAAGTAACCACTTGAGATAGTATTTATTGGGTGCTTACAGCTTGTCAGGTTTGGTGCTAAGACTGTTATACATATCTCATTTAATTCCCTGTGAGGTAGATAGTTGTAAAATTCCCACATTACAGATGAACAAGCCGAGGTACACCAAGGTTATGTAGCTTATCTAGCCTCACAAAACTTGGCGGAGCTGGGATTCAAACCTGGACCCACCTGGGTGAGTACTCTTGGCAAGACTGGTCCTCATTGGTGTTTAGGTTCACAGAAGGAGTCCATCTCCTTTTGGGAGAGGGAGGGGGTTTCTGGGGAGTAGTATAGTGGGAAAAAGACCACAAGGGTCTATGGAGGGTCTTTGAAAACAGGATTTGGGGAGAATATTGGGGAGAAGGCCTGAAAGTTTTTCCCTGATCCCTCCCCAGCATCCTCACATCCCAGCTGGGGAACTCTTGCCCCAGCCCTCACAGACTTGCCAATGTGGGTCCCAGGAAACAGACCCAGTCCTGACCCTCCCAAGTCAGAGGGACAGATGGGACTCAGAGCGGATGCCCAGAAGACAGGAGAAAGACACAGCACAGATGAAGGCCTGGAAGCAAGAGAATTAGATCCTGCCAGAATTGAGTGTGCCTGGAGCTTTGGGGGAGAATAAGAGGCTAGAGAGGTAACAAGAGACCAGGAGATCCCCTAGGCTCCCAGGGAAGGGGCAGCTGCAGATGGGCACTTCAGGACCTGGAGAGCACCTGAGCCACAGGGCTGGACTGGGTGAGCAAGGACAGAAGGGGATGTCAGGGACAAGATTGAGGTCATCCAGGCCAAAGAAGCAGAGTCCCCAGAGCCTGTGAAAAAGGTCAAGAGTGGTGTGGGCGTGGGAAGGGTAGGCTCAAGAGGGAACCACAAGATCAAGTGGATTTGGCAGTGATGGTGGTGTGGGGTTTTAGGTGGGAGATCCCAAGGGCTGTTGAGGACAGGCCAGCAGTCTGGGATGCTCTTGTCATCTCTTACCAGGCTCCTTTGTCAAGATCCACCCTGGTCTGATCTTTAGTGAACAAATGTATCTCACACAGGCACTTGGATAATCACCAGGTGTCCCAGAAATAGCCCAAAAAAGTAGGAGAAGACAATGTCATATCAGGGACACAACATGACACATGTTGCAGTGGCCAAGCACTGTTCTGAAGGGGGTCAAATAGTGATTCACTTCTAAGAGTCTTCTTCGCTGCTCTCTGGAAGTGAGGGGTGAGGGAACCCAAAGGTATGGCGGGACAAAGGGGATAAGCTGTTGGAAGTCCCCACACCTGGGTGGTGGCAATGACAACAGAGAGCGGGCACTTGCTGTCACTCACGCCCTCCTCTTGGGTTCTTCCCAACCTGTCCTGTGGTTCTGCCTTCCAGTAGTTCGACTGCCACGATCTGTCACATTGCTGTCCATACAGATGTGGTCACAGTGACAGTATCATCGTGTTGTGTCCTCACAAAAGGACATTTAAGATCCTAATACACTCTCAGTATCACAGTGCTACCCACAAACTCTCCTCATCAATATGACAGATAGTCACCTCCTGTTCCACGGTCACCCATCACTGTCACCCTCTCTGATGTCACTGTCTCCTTTGCTCTGACTCCCTGAGGTACAGCCACCTGAGGTTCTAGGAAGGCAGGACTGACTGACAGCATATTTATGACAAGGAACTGAAACTAACCCAAAGAACAGCAGAGCTTGGCAGAGGAGAGCATCTCCCAAATGAGGACAATTACCTTTAATAATGAGGCTGCACCCTGGAACAGGAGTAATCATCTCATAGGGACCAGATGGCATCCTTCAGGTGATGACAGTGATAACAACTTCTCCAGAGCCCTCAAAGAGCAGAACTGAGATAATGACCTCCCAGGTCACACTTTGCCTGGGAAGGTTTCATGATGTACAACTCTCATCCCTGCCCCAGTTCTTCCTCCATTTGAACCTAAAGCTTACGACTGTACCCCAAAGATGGGCTGACGTGCTTTGCCTCTCCCATGACTGGCCTTCATAATAAATCTTTCTCTGATCTTCATCACTACCCCCCCACCGGGGGGTTTTGTTGTTGTTATTGTTTTGTTTTGCTTTGTTTTCTACCATACTAAGGATTGAACTAAGGGCCTTGTGCTTGCAAAGAAATTTACCTTTTCTTTTTTTTTTTCACTTCTGGGGTTTGAATTCAGGGCCTCACACTTGCTTGGCCACACCTCCAGTCTTTTACTGGCCTCTTTATTTGGCCTACAGGGCAAGTGACTGAACCTGATGTGGATCCCCTGGAGTTAGGCCTCTGACTCACGACTCCAGTTATACTCCTTTGATTTACTGTGCAGGATTCCTTTTTGGGGACAGGATTCAACTGTATTTACCCAGAACCAGAAGGCTCCCATGGGCTTTAGCAAGGGATGGAAACAGGGTGGACATGGTGTGCCCAGGAGCACAGGGCCAGGGCTGGGGACAAGGAGACATGCAGAGGGGGGAGGTGACCCAAATAATGTATACACATTAAATGTAAAAATGATAAAGTATGACTTAAAAAAAAAAAAGGAGACATGCGGAAAGAGGGAAATAGACGCCTATCGCCTGTGGTGTGTGGGGCGAGCTGGGCCGGCCAAGGCTGGGGTGGCCTGGGGACAGAGCCTTCTTTGTCTGAGCTCAGGAAGCAGCTGGTGGAGCACATGGCCCGAGTTTGGCCAGATGCCTGGGAATGAGGCTGAGGGAGGATGAGAGAAGGCCCCAGAGGAGGTGAGGCAGGGAGGGGCACAGAGACAAACTGCTTCCCCCCTCACCCAAGGGCTTCTTCATCCAACTGTCCAGGGATAATCCCCATTCATGGAGTGCTCACTGTGTGCCAAGCTGTAACTCTCACCACAGACCCCAAGGCATGTTCTGTTATGATCCCATAACCCAGATGGGGAAACTGAGGCTCAAAGCCACCAGGCACTCACCCGGGCCCCACAGCCAGGAGAAAGCACAGCAGATTTGAATCCAGGCCACAAAGCTGGAAAGCTGTCTGCTACAATTCAGATGTAGCCCCCAAAAAGTTCTGGTATTGGTAACCTAATCCCTGAATTCATACCTTGATAGTGACAAGAGGTGACTAGATGAGGTCATGAGGGTGGGGACCCATGATGACATTAGCGTCTTTTTTGTTTGTTTGTTTGTTTTGATGGCTTTGAAGGATAGAAATCTATTCTTTCACAGTTCTAGAGTTTACTACAAGTCTGGAATTGAGTAAAATTGGGTCCCCTGTGGGGCCTGTCAGGGAGAATGTGTGTGTTCCTTGTCTCTTTCACCCTCTTTGATTTTTCTTTTTTGTGACATCAATCTGTACTCAATTGTCACATTACTTTTTATTTCTCTGAGTTTTCTGGTTGGTTGGTTTAGGCTGGTTGGTTTGGTTTGAGATGGGGTCTCTCTGTGGTATGCAGGCTGACCTTGAACTCTTGAACTCAAGGGAACCTCTTTCCCAGCCTCCTGGGTAGCAGGAGCTTACAGGTGCACACAACAGTGCCTGCCTGCGCAATGGCTTTATTGGAAGAGAGAGAAATCTGAGCTGGCAGATTGCTCTGCCTTGCCATGTTGATGCACAGATGACACGTGCAGGAGTTTCAGGTGCTCAGGGTTCTTGAGCCCGCACTGAAGATGAAAGCACAGGCGGACTCCAACAGCAGAGGTCGGAAAGATTTTATTTGTAGAGAATTTAGTTGGAGAAAAGAGAAGAGAAAGACTGCATGTTGGGGAACGCAGGGGGACCGGGATCCCGTGGGTTAGTGTGGGGAGTGGGTTTTATAGCCTATTTGCATTGCCTGATGGCAGAGATGCCTTTCAGATGTAAACAGGCATTTCCTAGGGAGGAGAAGTGTCTCCTTGACCTCCTGAGGTCTGTCCTTCAGTCCTTCAATGTGACATCTTAAGTCATGTGATAACGTAGCAAGAAGATCCCAGCTAAATGTTGACATCTTCATGTTGGACTTTCCAGCCTCCAGAACCATGAGCTGAACAAACCTCTACTCTGTGTACGTTACCTGGCCTGTGGCATTCACTTATAGAAACAGACAATGACCTAAAACACTTCCCCTGCTCTTGGGCCTCCCCAACACACACCTGAGTCTCCTGGACAGAGGAAAGTAGGAGATCTTGTCTATGTCTTATACAGACACCTATATTTAAAAAATGGAACAGAGTGGCTCAGTGGCAGAGCACTTGCTTAGCATGTGAGAGGCCCTGGGTTCTATCCACAGCACCCTCCCCACAAACACACACACAGATACAGCAGCTCACACCTGTAATCCTAGCTACTCAAGAAATAGAGATCAGGAGGATGTTGGTTTGAGGCCAGCCCAGACAAGGAGTTCTCATGACCACATCTCAATCAATAAAAACTGGGCATGGTTGAGCATACCTATCTTCCCAACGCCACAGGAAGCATAATTAAGAGGATGGCAGTCCAGGCTGGTTCAGACAAAACGCAAAACCCTATTTGAAAAATCACAAAAGCAAAAAGAGCTGGAGGCATGGCTCAAGCAGTTCAGCCCCTGCCTAGCAAGCTCAAGGCCCTGAGTTCAACCC